ACTGTTGTCCTTTAGCTTCTCTGCATGCAGCTTTCTATGTATAAACTTGGATGTTTTCCCTTTGTAGAAGAGGGAGTCCTTTGCTCATTGGAGTTAGAAGCAAGTACAAGCTTTCCACTGAACAAATTCCTGTTTTATATGGAACATGTAAGTTGATAAATCTAATTATGTTGTTTTTAAGAGCCAAAAGTTGTAGTTAATTTGTTTTATTGGAAACAAGGTTAATTAGTCTTTGTACTATAAAATTGCCAGCTGATCCTCCAAATATCTTCTTATCTGAAAGTGTTCTATTTTTACACTGCTCCCTTCCCCTGAAAAGTATTTGCATAATGTGCAACTATGATAACTTTAACCTGAATAGCCTGTAATCTCCAACTTGAACAGGTCTGGTTTTGCATTTTAAGTGCCTCATTTCTTCAACAGGCAACATTGAGAATATGAAGAACATGTGCAATTCACGAATGAAAAGACTGGACAGCTCTACCTGCCTGCATGCTGTTGGGGATAAAGCAGTAGAATTTTTCTTTGCTTCAGATGCAAGGTAAGAACTGCTTTTGTTTAGAAGTGAGATGATTCTGGAAATCTTACGCTGTTTTGTTGCTGCACAGGCTCTGTTCTGTTAGGATAGCTGCTTATCAGTTACTTCATTAAGCCCATGAGATAAGACATTTGAGTATTGTAGAGGCTTGACAACAGTATTTGAAGTGTTTACTGGTGCAGTGTCTGCAAATTACTTACCTCCTTGCCTTCTATGTAAAATGCGTCCAGTGCAGGAAGGTGAGTACAAGTTGCCACTATCAGGCAATTCTTTGGGCAGACTATAATTAGGTGTGAGTTTTGGCATTTTAATCCAGCTATCTGGGATATCAGAGGAGAAAAGAGTGGTGAAGTTCCAAACTAAAGAGGAAGCTGGGTACTGGGTATGCACTTGTCTCAGAAGCAAGATCCTGACCGTGGAGATCCATCCGAGATGACAAGAGCCAAAATCACATTGGCACAAACTTGCTGAAGTGAGTTGCTGTGCTGGAGCTTCCTGCTCCAGTTTTCTGTGACAGTGCATGAGGAGCAGCAGATGGAGCCATTCCCTTTGAGATGGCTCTATTTGTAGTTAGGCCCAAAAGGAAGATAGAAATGGGCTAGACAAGCAATATAGCATATTTAATTGCTTTGAGGAGTGCTGCTGCCACCTCTTACTGAAATGTCGGGTTTGTCTTGCTTTTGTTTTTCTCTGTAGTGCTATCATTGAGCATACCAACAGAGTGATTTTCTTAGAAGATGATGACATTGCAGCAGTAACTGATGGGAAGCTTTCAATTCACCGTCTGGAGCGTTCAGCTAGTGACGATCCTTCCCGGGTCATCCAGACCTTGCAGATGGAATTGCAGCAAATCATGAAGGGTGAGTTGAAACGTGTAAATGAAAATTCTCTTTGTAACTGTAACAATCTTCAAATAACAAGCCATATGTGTATATATAAGCATGACCTTGTAATGTTTTTCTTAACAGGTAACTTCAGTGCATTCATGCAAAAGGAAATTTTTGAACAACCAGAATCAGTTGTCAATACTATGAGAGGCAGGGTGAATTTTGAGAACAGCACAGGTAACTCAGACTAGGCATTCAAGCTGCACTGAGCACATGTGATTTTAAGCCTATTAGCTGGAAAATACCATACATGATTGATATATGCTTTTTCTTTTGTTTGATTGCAGTCCTGCTGGGGGGTCTGAAGGACCATTTGAAAGAAATCAGAAGATGCCGAAGGCTGATCATTATTGGCTGTGGGACCAGTTATCATGCTGCAGTAGCTGTACGTTCAACCTTAGCTGTACTGCACCTATACCTCTTAGTTGCTGGGCTTTTAATACAACAGATGTTCATCTGCTTTTCCTTCTGTACCACAAACTTTGCTTTTCACTGCGGCATTGCAGCATTTGTTTAATCTGCCTTTGTGCCATCTTCTTCATTAAAACTCCGGTGCTGTTACCTACTATGCTAGAAAAGTAACTTTTTTCATCTTGGTAAGCTCAAACTGTCTATTTTTGTAGTAGGAATCAATTCAGATTCTTTCTCGCTCTTTCAATGTCAGGTCTTTATGGGTGTTGATATTAACAGATATCGTGTGTTGCTTCATTACAGACTCGACAAGTACTGGAAGAATTAACTGAATTACCTGTGATGGTGGAACTTGCTAGTGACTTCTTGGACAGGAACACACCTGTGTTCAGAGATGATGTCTGCTTTTTTATAAGTCAGTCAGGTGAGCTGTTTCTGCTGTTTGTTTTACTGAGTGCAAACTAAAGAGAAATAAAAAACCTCCTTTGCTTTCTGAAAGTTGCAAAGGAGGATGCTGGGCTGTGTTTGTCTTGAATAAAAGTTTATTTTGGTCTTGATTCAAATACAAAGACAAAGGGTGAGTGCTGAAATGTTTGTTCTGGGCATGGATACAGTTATTCAGAACACAGAATAATTTCTTTTGTAGTATTTTTCAGGAGCTGTTGCTATCCTACTTGAACTTTAAATCAAGTTGTGAATGCTTTCCAGGTGAAACTGCAGATACCCTTATGGCTTTGAGGTATTGCAAAGAACGCCGTGCTCTAACAGTTGGCATCACAAACACTGTGGGAAGCTCAATATCCAGAGAGACTGACTGTGGTGTACATATCAATGCTGGACCTGAGATAGGTGTGGCAAGCACAAAGGTAGGAGCTGTTTGGTTTTCAATTTTTATACTTTACTACTGTGTAATCCAATTATAGTTTTAATCGTAGCACTTCAGATTGAGATCATAGTAACTCACTTATGCTTGGCTGCTAAATGCTCTGTTTTGTCTGCAGGCTTATACCAGCCAGTTTGTGTCTCTTGTAATGTTCGGCCTCATGATGTCTGAAGACCGAATTTCTCTGCAGAAAAGGAGAAGGGAAATCATTAGTGGACTAAAATCATTGCCAGGTATATTGATATTTATTTTGGGTTTGAGGAGATTTTGTTTCATGGATAATACAGAAATGTAAAAAACCTTTGAAAAATATTTAAGTTGCTCTTTTCCTTTCTCCCTGAAAGGTAGATAACGTAAGAAAAATAGGCTACTAGTTTCTACACCAATTGGCAGTTTTACAAATATACTTCCAGAAAACTTGGCAGAAAGATCACAATTACAGTAGGATAGCTTTGAGAATTATTCCTTGATCTCCTATAGATAATCTAAAATTTGTAATGCCTTTCACTTTAAACCAGTATAGGGGAAACAAAACTAATCCCAACTGACTTTAAAACAGATGTTCAGAACTTCCTTTAGTATTTCAGATGGGATGTATTGACTGCTTAAACTAGTAGTCATCTTAAATTTGTTACTGTACATAAGATTGGACAAAGCATGTTTAAAGCTCTATCAAAGTTGCAAATATATGAAGTTAACACCTGAATTATGTTAAGTATATTTGTTATAAAAATATCATTAGAGAATCATACTACAAAAAGCTAGGAAATACTATTTTTTTTTCCAGTTGATGGAGAATTTATATGTGCTTTTTATGTGATCCAATAGAGATGATTAAAGAAGTCTTGTCCTTGGATGAGAAGATACATGACTTGGCTCTTGAGCTGTACAAACAAAGGTCGCTGCTGGTTATGGGTCGTGGATATAATTATGCCACTTGTCTGGAAGGAGCTCTGGTAGGAATCTCTCAAAGTCATTGGATACTACTTGAAATGAGCTTTTGTTTCTGCAGCACTTTTTCTCATATTTATTTACAGTTTAATTCTGCTGCTGTAAAACTGCTGCCATGTGTAATTAGAACGATTAATCCTGTTGGACTGAACACATAAGGTGAATTTGGTGTCATTCTTAAATACGCTTAAGGAGTGTATTTAAAAAAAGAAAATGGAAAAAACCTTACAACTTAATACCACTTAAAATGCTGGTTGCTTGAAAATATCCTCATAAAACACTGTTCAGTATGCTGGTGTTCAGGCAAGATGTTCATGCAGGGAACTGCTAAATTAATTACAGATACCCTCATATAATGGAGCTATGTCCATCTCTCATAGAAGTTAGAAATGTGGTGCTAGATGTTAAGCTCTTAAAAATTCCTGTTGATCACTCCATTTCATTCTCTGCAAATGCATGTGCATGAGCAAGCTCCATTTCCACCAGTAGCCTGCTGGAAATCCCAGTGTACGGGAATGTCTGTTCTAGCCATTAACTGATTTTTGAAAATAGCAATTGCATTTAATTGATGGATGTTTTGCTTCTTGCAGCTTTTATTTCTAATCTAATTTACTTCTAACTTTCTGGTATTTGCATTTGTTTTGTTAGAAAATAAAAGAAATCACCTATATGCACTCTGAAGGTATCCTGGCTGGTGAGCTTAAACATGGTCCGCTAGCCCTAATAGATAAACAGATGCCTGTTATCATGGTCATAATGAAGGATCCTTGCTTCACCAAGTGCCAGAATGCTCTGCAACAGGTCACAGCTCGACAGGTAAGCTGTAAAGTAATGCAGTGTTGTAGGGAAAGAAATTGTGCACGCTGGATTGTTGCCAAATACATTTCAGAGGCAGGATTTGCTGAGGGTATTTTTTTTTTCTACTTAAAAAGTTATAAATAAGGTGCTATAGCTTCATTGCAGCTTGCACTTTAACACCAGTAATGGTAAGTGATTGTATGTAGATGTTTCTTGATCTTGGATCAAAGAGAATAATGTTAAAACTCTAATGATTGTTGCATGAGATTTGAATGTTTTCAGTGAGTGACAGAACCCATTACACAGGAATAACATTTTCTTGGTTAGCTATCTTTGTTATTTTTTCAAACATAGTACAGATATGCTGTGAACTAATATTTCAAAGCAGCTCTTAACTGTAGAACTTTACTTTCAGGGTCGTCCAATCATCCTGTGTTCTAAGGAAGACACAGAAAGCTCAAAATTTGCCTACAAAACCATTGAGCTGCCTCACACAGTTGACTGCCTTCAAGGAATCTTGAGTGTTATTCCTCTCCAGTTGCTTTCATTCCACCTGGCTGTTCTCAGAGGATATGATGTAAGTGCTTTCTATGTATAGCATTCCAGTTAGAGCAGTTTTGCACTTCCTCCTACCAATGTTAAGGGAGAGGCAAGGTTACATAGCATTTCTAACAAAGAACTATGGTAATAGTTGCTGCAACTGGTACTTACTGTGGTAGTAGAGGTGGCATTTCACTGCCAATTCTTCAGCCTTTTCTTGAATTGGCATGGATGATGGTTCTAAAAAAACGTAAAGATTGTTTGCTTAGTTTGATTAGTGAAGAATGCAGATAATAATTTGTCAGAAAACTAAGCATTGAAGAATGATATTGCACTTTAACAGAGAAGAGTTTATTGCTTTGTACAGCTTAGTTTGTTGACTCTGTCTAGGTGTGTCAGTTTGGTAAAGATGACCCTGTTGGAAAGGCATCCTGTGCAAAACAATATATAAAGATTTGTTAGGAGGTTCTTGCAGGTAATGATGAATTCAGCAGTGAGTTATCTGCAGACCTGTAGTCTCTTGTGTGCATTAGTGTGTCCAGAATAAAGCAGAACTCAGTAGGAATTCTTTTCTAAAAAAGCAAAAAACACCAAACGGAACAGCACACTAAAAGAATTATCAAATGCAGAATGCCAGTTATGTTCTGTCACACACTGACAGCCTGTCTTTTCGTTCTAGGTGGATTTCCCAAGGAATTTGGCCAAATCGGTTACTGTGGAATAACAGCCAAGAATAGTGGATATTTTTATCACCAGACCTCTGTGTTATGCTTATTGAAATGTGTTGTTCTGAATCAATAGGTACATGTTTTTCAAAGGGAATGAGAGTGATAACTGGTCAGTGTCAGAAGGATTTATCTTGCAGCTTTAAAAGCTCCCGATGTGCCTTGTTACCCAAGTGCTTTTGCTCTCAGCAAATATTTCTAAGTCCCGAAATTGCCAAAGGATAAGATAAAAATCAATGTTTACACATGGTATACTGAATGAACTTTTCTACTGTGCAATATATATATATATATATATACAGCTCTCTTCAGAGTAACTGTGAACATTTTTTTTTTTTTTTTTTAGCCTACACTACTTAACTAGTTTTAAAGATAAAGTATTTATAAGTACAACTGTATAGCATTTCTTAAGTTATTTTTTTTAGTACATTGCTTAACTACAGCATTGGTAATGAGTTGACATGCTCAGTACTCATGGGGAGTTTGTGTACAGTTTTTTAGATTTTTCTACAGCTTCAAACTTGAAATTGCTTGTCCTCTTCCTCCCAGTTTCCTGCCCCCCTCCTCCTACAGTTTGCACCTGGTTTGTATTTCACCACCTTTTGCAAAGAGTTCCTGTGGCCGTAAATTCTCAGCTGTGTTTTCAGCTCTTCCTCCTACTTTCAAGCTGATGCTGTGAGAAGGCCCAGCAGTGTTTTGTATACTGCCCCAGTTCTTATTGCCTGGCTTATATAGAGCAACAAAATAAGGGAACTTCCAAAATAGTGTATCTTCCAAAAGGTACTTCTGGTTGAAGTGTGTACAATGTAATTAATATGCAATTAAAGAAATTATTATACAGATGCTTCTTGTTTTGGGGCTTTTTTTCCCCTCTTAGTCACTTGTATGATCTGAAAGCTGCAACAACAGCGCAAAACACCACCAGGAGGGCTGTTGTGTTCCAACAGTCAAGAACAGAACATCACCATATAAAAACGCACATGTATTTGGTAAAGAGTTACTGGTGTATTTGAATAAGTTCTTGTTTTGCTGTGGTGGAGTGACGGTCCCACCCTGCAGTCCCAATTGATGCCACCGCTGCCAGTGACGTCAGAAGTGCGGTGACAGTCTGACGTACGGTGATGACATCACGCCGGAGGGCGGGGATCGGCCCACGATTGGCTCAGCCTCCCCTCTCCCACTGCAGTGCTTCCCCGCTGCCCTGCCTTATATAGCGCCAGGTCTGTCCCGCCCTCGGACCACCGTTGGCTGAGCTTCGCGGTATGGGCTCGCGATTGGTCCGAGTGGCTGCCCGTCAGCACGCTCAGGCCTGGCGCGGCCTGCGCGGAGCACCGGGAGGCCATTGTGGCTGGGGCGGCTCTGCGTGCCGGAGGAGGTGGAGGCGGCGGCGGAGGTGGCTGCGCGGCTCGCGAGCGCCGCGCCCCGTCCCGCTGGAGCCCGACCGAGTGAGGAGACGGTGAGGGAGGCCGCGAGGAGGGCTTTGCGTGCGGCGGGGCTGGAGCCGGAGTGAGCCGAGCCGAGCCCCCCGGCCCTGTGCCGAGAGGAGTCCCCGGCTCTTCCCGCGGGCCCCGCCCGCCGAGGCGCCGCCGGGGCCGGGGCCGGGCTTCCCCGCGCGTCGCTGCCCCGGGCCCGGCCCTCCGGAGAGGGGGAGGAGGCGGAGGGGCCGAGTCGGGGGCCCTTTCCTTCTTCTCGGCCCTGCCGTGCCCCTCGCCCTTCCCGTGCCGTACCGCCGCCCCTGCCCGGCCTCGGCGCCCCGTGCCGTCCTGGCCGCGCTCGGTGCCGGCGGGGAGCCGCGCTGTGCCGCCCGCGACGCAAACCGCACGAGTGAAGGAATTCCGTGAGCGCGCTCGCTCGGCTCGACGGCTGCTCCGTCATTTCACGGCGGACTCATTGCACGGCAGATACACGATTGAACTTTTCCCCTCCGTCTCCCGGCCGAGGTGCGCCCAGTGTTTGCTTTCAGCGTTTGTTTGGCAGCTAAATGACGGCGGGGCTGGTGGCAGTCGGTGAGATCTGCTCGCTGATAGCTTCGGCTGGTTGAAGGCTGAGGTGCTTCTCAGAGAGCTGAGTGGGTAAAGCAAGTATTGGTTAATTTGCAGAGTACGTCTGTGAAGGTGAATGTTCAGTGTGGTTTCCCTGTCGTTTCGTATGTGTGTGCACCCTGGGTTCTTTCTGTCTGCAGTGCAGTTTAGCCTGAAGTTAGTTTCTTGGTGTTCACTGTGATAACATTTCTGTATCCAAAACAGCACAGGGAACGTTCCCAGCTGTTCCAACCTGTTTGCTTGAGAAGCTTTTGACGTGGAAAATATCCAGAGAATGGATCTGGTTAATACTAAGTTGCCATTTTAATAGGTGCCTTTTGCAGAGGTGACTGGTGCAGTATGTACATACACTGTAATGCAGTTGCTCTCAACCCCTAAGTACTTCCCTAGTGATTCTGTATCACAGCTAAAACGTTTATTGGAGGTGGATTTGGTGTGTCTGTTTTCCTTTTTTTTCAAATTATTTTACTTTGCATGAACTGAGGCTGAAAACCACTTCTGTAAGCACTTGTGATCTCTTTGCATAGAGTAGAATCAGCTTTATGCTTTTTAATTTTTCCAATTCTACAAGTACCTTATTAAAGCAAACACAGAAACCTGCACCCAATTTATCCGCATCTCATGCATGCTCAAAAATAGAAAACTATCTTGAAACACTGATTGAGTGCCCTTATCAATATGCAGAAGTATGTTTGCTGACTGTCCCATGAATGAATGACTTCCACATTTGGCACTGCTCCTGTTTGCTGCAGCTAGGAAGCCATGAATGAAAATGTGTATTTCTGAAATGGAAGTAATGCCAACTTCCAAGAGATTCCAGTATGGGAGATGTGTGGGATATGTTGTGTACCTGCGAGGAGGAGTGATGAATCAAATTGCCTCAGGTAGCAGAGTAGCAGCTCAGGTTTAAGAAACTTACTTGTCAGATGCACTTTTCCCTCTTGAGTGATGGGCAACCTTCTTATTCAGTGGGTTTACCTCAAAATAGTCTCAGAGCCTTAAATTATGTCAATACTTACAGTCTCATGGCATTTAGCTTTACATTAGTACACCTGAAGTAACCTAACTCCTGCCTAGGGCTCAGGGTAGGCTGTTGCCCAGCACAGTGAGCTCCAGAGGATGTCTGAATGCATAGAGCTTGTGTGTTGTGATTCACAAATCCCTCTTTGGGTCTTGTGTAAAGAGCTTATCCTGGTCCTTAAACTGTTTTCAATAATGACTTTGTACAGAAAAGATTTCTTAAAGTGAGGTTTCTTTGGTTCAGGATCACTTCCTTTTCCTCTGCTTCTTTATCACTTACTGAACAACAGTGATCCTCATTAACCTCTGAAGAAGTACCAGCATAGATCCCATGTAACTAACATATTTCATTTGATTTCCAGTGTAATCCACATCTACACTTCCCCCCCCCCCCTTTAAGCCCCTTTTCAGAGAGAGAATCTTGATCTTTTCCTTAGTCTTGTATTTCCAGCTGTGTCTGTCTTCCAGCATTTGGAGATGTACAGAAAATACCAGGGCTGCTCAGGGGTTGTTAATAAAAAAATGTGGTGCATCAATGTCTATAGCTCAGGAGTGATAAAACACAGGAAGGAAGAGGGGGTTCATTCCTTACTGTCTAAATAGCTGCTGGAGGTGACCAGATTGAGTATTTACTTTGTAAAATACTGCTTAGATTTTGAGATACTAGAAATTAAAGAGGACTCTAGATATTTCTTCAGAATGCCTTAAAGCTAACTGTTACCATTTTGACTTTAGTCTCCATTAGCATTTGCAACTTTACATCTTTTTTCCTTGCATGTTTCCTGTGTTCCTACGCCCAGGCCATGGAGAAGACACTGATCCATCCTGCTGCTGGCTGGAAGGGAGAGGCCCATATTCTAATTCCTGAAGCTACTAGAAACTACTTATATAGCTCTGTGCCCTTCCAGGATGTGCTTCTGGGTTGCTGTCGAGGCTCTTCTGCTTTGCATGGGCTCGCCAATGTTCTGTAGACTGGTGAAGAAGGAGAGAATAACTGCTCTTTCTTTAGCTACAAATGATGCAGTACAGCTGGGTGGTTGGGCCAGCTGCTTATAGGGAGGTGATCTGCTTTCATTTCCTGTTTTGGGGAACTCTTGGCTGTGCAATTTAGTCTGGGTTGTAAAAGCATTATCATGATGCATGTGAAATTAAAAAGTGGAGAGTTTCTCAGAGATCTCTTTGGTTATTACTGAGGTAATTGTTATAAGGCATGGAGAGAAGATGGGTGCCTGGGAAAGCAAGGTCTGTGCTCTCGCTACTGTAGTGATTTGGAATTGAAGAAGTGTAGTACACTACCTCAATCTCAGGTGTAATTACCTACATCTAATTCATTACGGACAGTTTTTAGTGTAGCACCAACATCCAGTGAGGGAGAGCCTGTAACTTCCTTAGGGAATCTTCTCTAGCACTACATCTCTTCTACCTTTGCAAAATGGGCTTTGTTTCCCCTCCTTCTCTTCGTATCTTCTAAAATGTCTAATCAGAATCTTCACAGCTCACTGCTAATCACCACATCCATTGTGTTCGTACATTATTTTATTCCTCCTTTCTTTGGGCTTTTGTGCTCTTCCTCCTCTCATCTGTTTCCTGTAAGTAACCCAGTTAATGAGATGACTTTTCCTCCTAGCTCCTTGCTGCCCTCTGGACTCCGTCTTTCAGAAAGTCCAGTCCCAGCTTCGAGTGAAAAGCAGATGAGAGAGGTGAACTGCAGTGTAACTACCTGGATGGAATTGCTTTTTGCCTGCAGTTTTCTTTTGCCTTCATTAAAGGGGATGTTAACATACAAACATAATGGTCCTCAAGCACTGTAATGCATTTGGGATAAGAGTTACTGTTACAACATGGCCAGTTCTTTCAAACCTTACCAACTCTTAATTCTTGTAGGACTTGAAGAACACTAACTGTGGCGTGGGGTGTCAGTGTGTATTAAAGACAGGAGGAGGGAGAGTGGGTGGTGATAGCAGGAACTCAAAGTTAGGGAAGTTCTGAGTCCTGGAGTCTCCTACAAGGGTTGCCTGAGGGTGGTGGTGTTTGTTTTCACAGTTGTTTACTTAGCTACTTTTTGTTTTAGGGATTGGAATGGAAATGTTTGCTTACAGTTCAGTAAGGTATGATTATTTGTTGTCTCCTCTGCAGGGGTTTTTCATTAGCAGTAGTTGTAAGCTGAACTAATGCTTATTTAATAGTATGCTATTGAAAAATTCATATGTGTTAAAATATGCATAATCTATTTTCCATCTTGTCTGCCTGGAATTACTCAGATTGAACATTTTTCTTTTTTTCTTTAAGATCTTGAAGCCTGTACCAGGTCCTTGAGAGAGAAAACTACATGACACTACACCATGAGTGACAGTAAATCCGATAGTCAATTTTACAGTGTTCAAGTTGCAGATTCAACATTCACTGTACTAAAACGTTACCAGCAATTGAAGCCTATAGGATCAGGGGCACAGGGCATTGTTTGGTGAGTAATAAATATTTTATTTAAACATAAAAAGCTCTACGTGCATAACAAAACTTGAATGTGTTCTGATAGGGGCGCCAGGATATCAAATGTTATCAAAATCAATGAGTGCTTTGTCTCTTGCTACAGGTTTATGATGGACTAGTTACTAAAATACCTGCCTGCAGTAGTTCATGTGGGAAACTAGCTTTTGTTTTGATTTTAGGGGAAAATAATATTTGGATAACAACATAAATGAAGAGGGTCAACAGATTTCCTTCTCATTAACCACTTTATTTTTGTTTTAGTTGTCACCTTCCCCATGTAGTTATGCTATTACAGTGTAAGGTATGGCAATGAGATGGTGAGAGATTCTGGGTTTTACTCGTTTCTTCATCATGGCCCCCTTTCTTTCCCCCCTTTTATTCCCAGTCACTCCTGTCCATTTCTAGGAGCCATCAATGCAGTGCCTTGCCATTAACTGGCAGGATGAGGCAAATCAGTGTCATTGTCACTCCATGGATTAACCAGGAAGGGATGCTGTGAGGGGTTGGGCTGGCCGTCTTCCTTGCTGTGTCACCTCAGCTATGTGTCCAGCCTCCACTGGCCCAGGACGTGAGAGTCGTTAGTCTGATCCTGAACCTTAGTCTCTTGTATGGCACCACACCTCTGGGCCAGCTAAAGGTAAACACTTTCAAATGTTTTTTAGACTGCAGCAGTCTATTCTGCACCGCTCACTGCCAGCCCTTATTTTGTTGGGCAAAACTTACTGGGTCACAGCAGCAGATCTTATCGATGCGGTTTTACGATTCCATACATGAGGGAGCAAACAGATGTACTTAGGAACTCTGTCATATCACAGTCAGAAACGCGTGATGGGTTGTTGGTGCTTTAAATCCAATCTGCAGTTTCTGTCTGCCAATAAATTCTGCAGAATAAGTGCGATGACTCATATTGTGAGCAACCCTTCTGCAGCACCTGCCCGTGACTTTCTGGCTTTTTTAAAACCTTAAAAAATGTTTTATACTTAGGAAAGGAGTGCTAACAGGGGAAAAAATAAGTGAGAAGAGAACACTGTATTTCATTGTTCAGTGGGTTGAGTGGGGAATGGGTGGGCGTGCTAGATCTTGGTATTAGTGTTTGGGTAAGTGTTAGTGTAGTGCAAACGTGTTCTGGGTATAAATATTCTTAGTGATATGCTGGTTCTAGATTGCATGTAAGAATTTAGGTTGGTTGTAATTGCTTCTCCTTTCATTGGAAGTAGTGCCTAATGTCTAAATGAGATGAGTAAAACTAGGCATTGCTTCGAAACAGTTGGGGTCGTGCTAAGGTCAGCATCTTGGGTGGAGAAAGGGATGAAGTGATTTATTGACTTGTTTTGAGAAAACTTGATTTTTGGAACAACAGAATAAAACATTGCATAAATTTTCTTCATGTGAAACATCTGAAAACTATGTCCAAATTGAAGAAGGTGCAAAATCTAAATTTCTCTGTAAAAGTCCCTAAAATACACAGGGGAAATATGCAAAATGTAGGGGTACGTGGTGTGGAAATCTCACCATACGAAGAGTGCTGTCCTGTCATTTTTTGGCTAGGAAAATCTCGGTGTCATTTGCATGTTGCATAAATGAAATACAAATGAGAACTCCAGAAAATGAAAAAGGAACTTGGTTGTTTATGTAGAGTTTGTTTGGGTATTTTGTATACAAAGTGTGCTTCTATATGTGACTTTTCACACTTCTTAAGTTCTAGCATACTCGAAACCTTAGAATCTATTTACAAATGAGTATCTGCTTGCACAAAATGATTTTCTTGAACTAGTTTTTGTTTCAGTCTTGATATCAGTTTTTCCTTTCTTGCCCTGGATTTCCGATGTTTAATTAGTCAATCTGATTTTTCTGTCCCAACAAATTGATTCTGTCCTTCAAGATAGCAAAACTGTGATCTTACCAACTCGTGTGAGTTTTGCTTTGTCCATAATTTTCCCTATGGTTGCACTTGAAGAAACAGTCAGGAGTTTGTTGCTGTTTGCAAAGCCGTGTTTGGGCGGTAGGGAAAGAGTGAGCAAAGCAGAGCTGGTAAAGCAGGAATCCACAGCAGGAGCACATTGCATTTTGAGGCAAAAGTCCTTTGCCTACAGAACTGAAGCATGATTTCTTGCTGTAATTTAGGTCAAGATGTTTTGTTTATAAGTCCATTGTGCACGTGGTGTCTTTACTCCTAATATTAAAATACAAACTTTTAAAAGTGCTCTGAAAACCTTAATGGAACTGACTGTGATCAGGTTGATGTTGCTTTTGGGTGGAAGGACAGACGTGGAGGTTCTTCACAGATACTAAATACAGATTCAAGATGCAGTGTCAGTTACTCTCATGTGGATAAGCAAAAAAAAAAAAAAGGTGGAGGTGAAGTTGTTTGTATGTGCTGGGTTGGAGCCTTGACACATACCTGGTTGCTTAGATTGCTAGGGGCATCTTCCCTAACATATCTGTCCCACTGTTGCAGTGATCTTGCTGCTCATAGCTGGCTTGAGCAGTTGTTTATTGTGTACCCTGTTGGTTACTGGTTGTTTGCTAATACCAGGGTGCTGTTAAAGCCATTAATATAAATAAAATTGTACGTAAAATGTCTTTTAGATGAAATATTGGAAACACTGGAGCTTTCATATCTGGGAGAAAAACAGTTTCTCACTTGTTCACTTCCTCCCATTTTGTGTTTTGTTTTGCATAGTTAAATTAAAAACCTTTAAATCTGAGAGTGATCATATCACTGAATAACAGCTTGTGTGTGTCACAGAACTGAATCAAAATGAAAAGTAGCAAGCCTTTAATGAAAATGGTGCAGTGATTGAAATGTGGGCACTGAACTGTGCCTCCCAGTAAATAGCATCTTGTGGGTGAACCCTGCCACATGCTGGTGGTACCTTTTCCAATGGGGAAGGCAGCGATTTGATGTTGATAAACTTCATACAGTTTGAGTATTGCTGCTGGAGATGAGCTGCACTTCTTGTAAGAGTGTTGTAATAGGGTGGTTCTTCACATCTGTATGTGCTCTATGTGTCCTGATGAGGCAGGGAAGGAGCTCACAGAATGGCAGCTTTGGAAAAGACATGAGTGAGAATTCTTTCCTACCATATGAAAGTAGCATTGAATGGAGATCATGTGGGAATCCTTATTTAAAGCTAGAGAGGTAATGGATTGTAACTCCTGTGTCATTCCTGGCATGCATTTGCAGGTATTTTGTCAAATCCCCTGTGTGTTATTAATGAAGAATATTCCAACCTTAGTCTTGTTCTGGATATACACGTAATTTAGCCCTTAGATTCTTAGAGTTTTTAAAGTGTTTGCACCTGTACCTTGAACTACAGAAGGAAAGAACAACTGAAAAAAGCTACGAAATTAATGCTCGTTTTCATTTTTAAGCTGTTGCTTCTTGCAGCGTGTAAATCTTCCATATTGATTTTTGTTTTTGCTGAAACCAGGCAATTCATTTTCTACACTAAAATTGCTTGGAGTTGTAAGCTATCCATGCAGATGAGAGCACTGACATCTGCAGGACTGATCAGATGTTGTGACTGTTCTTTAGGAAAGATAAGCTAATACTGCAAATGTTAAATGACTGTCAGTCAGCAGCAGTGTCCAGAAAAATTCCCAAGTGTACAGACTAAGCTGGAAATACAGGCAGCTGAAATATTACTTAAAAACATGCTTAACGGATTTTTAGATCTCTCAATTTTGAGCAAAAGTCTCAGGTCAGCAGATTCTGTCTTATTTGAGGGAAGGAAGGGCACAGGAGGCTTTTCATAAGAATGTTGGTGGCTTCTGTCCAGCCTACCTTTGTTTTTTAAGGACTGTTTAGATTCTCTTTTAATGTGTTTTTTCTAGATGTAAAAGGAAGTTAGTGTAAGCAGCTAATTTGATATTTATTTCCTCAAATCTTGGTGTCTTTCTGTGTTCCCATCTCCCCTCTTCCCTCGCCTCTCTCCCAAGCAGACTTCAACTTAAGCTGTTTGTCTTTGACAACTTGCAGTGCTGCGTTCGATACGGTCCTTGGAATAAACGTTGCTGTAAAGAAGTTGAGTCGTCCTTTTCAGAATCAAACCCACGCAAAAAGAGCTTACAGAGAGCTTGTTCTTTTAAAATGTGTCAATCACAAAAATGTAAGTCTGCCTTTGTGTTTCCCTCTCTCGTTCTCTCATATCTAAAAAGCTCAAGATTTGCTTTCTTGCAAATCTTTAACCAAACTAGTGAAAAAAAAATGGTGAGAGAAACTAGAAACATTTGCAATGGGTTTTACAGTTATTCCCAGTGTGAGGTTCAGCTCTTGGGTGAGCTGTTTGGAGGATGAAGTGCCAAGAGCAGGAGGCTCTTGTTGCAGTGTCACTATGGGTTTATCATCAGTATAGGCTTCAGAGATGGTTTTGCTGTGGTGCATTTGCCTTTTTACATCCAACTACAGCAAGGCCTGTTTGGCGCTGGGTTTGGTTGTGGGTTTGGTTCTTCTAGCTTCTCTCTAGTTATATTTCCTGAGTTTATGTAAGAATTTTATTAAATATAATGTTTGACTGGTAGATTTGGAAGGTATAGTGGTGCAGCTTGAAAACTTGCCAATGTACACAACTGAAATGCAGACATGCCATACATGCATACAAAGTCATTGAGCCTTCTGAGATACTAAGCCATAATGTCAACACTTGAGCGTACAAGAATATAGGATCACAGTGTGTTGCATTGTGCTGCCAAAGCGAACTGGGAGCAGTGCTGATTGTGAAAGTTTTGTACTGGGGTGTCAAAGCTGCTAGGGCTGCTGAAATAGCTTTTGGTGAAGTCCAGAAGTAGCAGAATAAAGGCAAGGTTGTAATTAAGGATGGCAACATAGTAATGGTAGGAGTTCTTTCAGAAATAGTGTGTAACGATGTAAATTGAACGGGGTGGCATGGGGCGCCTCTGCTCTTGTTGGGCGGCGTTAGTTAAAATTTCTTGCCCAGTAGGTGATTTAAAATAAGAGATTATTGTTTATGTGGGGAAAAAAGGAATACATTTCGGGTACTGAAGAAGGACAAAGGGGTGTCATATCACTTGGAGGGAAAAAAAGTCTGTGCCCTGTTTTAGTCCCTGCAGCACGTGTGCTGCAGTTTTCAACTATATTTGGAACAACAGTTCTTCAGCGTGAGTGAGTTAAGTGAAACAAGTAATATTAAGTTGTGTTAAGTATCAGTATGTTTTTGGCTTTGAATAATAACTTCTGTAGTAATTGGATTTGTATTTGAATTAAAGCTGAAGCTTCTTTTTTCTTTATAGATCATTAGTTTATTAAATGTATTTACACCGCAGAAGTCACTAGAAGAATTTCAGGATGTGTAAGTACTAGACTTTTGTTACAGTTTTCCTGACAAATATTCATCTAAGCCATAGCAGCATAGCTCCGGTGTCTTACAGTCTTTATGCTGAAAGTTGAGGGTAACTGAAGTCTAAGTTTAAGTTTTAGTTAGTCTTTCTTGACGCTTCTGAAATAAATTGAGAGACAAAATTGTTTCGCTTCAAACATGAAATGGAAGTGGGAAATAGTTATTTATCTTTTATCCATGGTGATTTAATTTTGGGGTATTCATATGTTCCAGTGAGCGACCCTAATTTTGAAATTGTCTTAATGCATGATCTTTTCTTAAAATGGTAAGCTTTCTTAATATTCTTACAGTTTATGAATGTTTTCTTATGCTTCAGATACTTGGTTATGGAGCTGATGGATGCCAACTTGTGCCAAGTTATTCATATGGAATTGGATCATGAAAGGATGTCTTATCTCCTTTACCAGATGCTATGTGGTATCAAACATCTCCACTCAGCTGGTATCATCCACAGAGTAGGTAGTATTAGATCATTACTGATATTCTTTATGAACACAGATGTTCTTATGAGCCTGAGGGGTAGGCAGGGAATTGCTCTTTTGTGTGTTTGTAGCTATTTTGTTCATACCATTATTAAACCTGGAGATTTTCAGATTTGAAGGTGAAGACCAACGTATTGTTAACAGATCTTAAAACAGATCAGTTCTGTGGATTTAAATGTTGCTGAACTGATCCACTCATAAAACATGAGAAAATGTATACCTTCCAAATTACTAAAGAATGAGTCTTTCTAATTTAACATTTGACTTTTATAAGTTATGTTACCAAATGGTTGTTCAGAACTTTCAACTCCTGAGCGTACTTCATGCAACTCTGATTCTGGTTTCCTGCAGCTGCTCTTTATATTTTGCATGACCAGCAGTCTACCTGACAGTCATGCTTAGTTTTTTTTGTTCCTTTCCTGTTCTTCTTTTCTCCTATTTCCTGGACACATCTTTTAAATCTCTTTTCCCTGCTGGTTGAAAAATTCAGTCAGCTTCTAGTATAACGTGCTTTTTTTCTTCACGTTCAATCCATAAACAGAATTAAGAACCTGTGTAAATTGCAACAAACTTCTTTGCCTTGCTGAAAAAATCTACCGTTGTGTATAGTTAACATGTGTAAGACTGAAGGGAGGGGGGAAGGGCTGGAACTCCAGCTGAACTCCACCTGACTTGTTGGCTGTGATTTGGAGCAACAGGGGAGACAAAATGTTTGCTGAGAAATTTGAACCCATTGGAGCTGACAGAGCAGGACAGAACTGATGCTGGTTGAACATGGAAAAGGGCCATTGGTGGAACCAAACTAACCAGACTGTGAATAGCTAAACAAAGGCAGGAAGTTTCTTTAAATAGGGAAGCAAAAGTGGATTGTGTTGGGTTCGTCTGGGACCAAAGCAAAAAGACCTGTCAAGACCTTGAGTGGAAACTCTGGATTAGATGAGAAGTCAAATTTTGGAAAGAAGCCAGGCTAGGAAAGGGACAGAACTTGGATAGCTCAAAGGAATATGTCTAGGGATGACTTAAAAGAGTCTGTGACTAAACACAGCTTGAAATAATGTATGTGACACCAACCTCTGTTATTAATAGATGAATATTGAAATCTGATATGCTTCACATGGCCCAGCATTATAACAAGATGAGATAACAAATTTCACTGCCAACTACTGTAAATAATTATTCAGTTATTTCAAGAGAAAAGTCTGTGTGGAAGATTAGAAAATGCAAGCAAGCTGTGATTCAATACCATTCTGCAAAAATTTGTTGCTTTCCTATTTGGATGTCCCTGTCTCTCTTAAGAAAAGGAAGTTCTGCGCCTGAAAGCCTAACTCATGTGGTTGAAACCACGTCAAATACTTGAACAGAGTCAAAATGTACATCTGTAATTCAAACTCCTGTGAATGTAAATGAATGTGAAACTGCTGTTGTGAGGTGAACTGGTGGCGTCACTGACTTTGGGGGGGGGGTGTTATTCAGTATGTAGAGCCTTCCTTAACTGCACTAATTTCTTGTTAGGATTTGAAACCCAGCAACATAGTAGTAAAATCAGATTGTACACTCAAAATCCTTGATTTTGGACTGGCAAGAACAGCGTGTACTAATTTTATGATGACTCCATATGTAGTAACACGATATTACAGAGCGCCAGAGGTTATCCTTGGAATGGGATATAAAGAGAATGGTAAGTTACTGGAGTAATGCTTTAAATTGTTTGTCTAAAGCATGTGTCTCCAAACATAATAGCTTTAAAAGGCTGGAACAGAGCTAATTTCCCTCTGCTATGTCTATTTTTAATGCTAATCATGTTACTGGAGATTATTAAAACATAAAAAGTACAATAAGTATTTTGTGGAGAATAGGAGTTTTCTACTGTATCCATATCTCCATTTAGAATGTACTGTTTCTGCTTCCCTGCTGTCTTACCTTTTCCTTTGTTGTCCTGTTGCCATTTTCTTTAACTTACCAATCTATGAGATACCTATGCTGCATGATGTTTTAGAAAACCAACTAACCAATGATCAGTGCATAAATAATAAACCTTTTTATCACTGTGATTTTTACTGTGAAGCATATTTTAAGTCTGTCCCCTCAGTGTCTGTGATGACTTCATTAAAAATCTATTTCAGATTCTCCAATAAACCATGTAGCTTATTCTCCTAAATCTATATAAATAGCACTTAAAGAGGCTGGGTGTTGTACTATGTATATATACAGGCTTTAATATATTGAACATTCAGCCAACAAAACTGCTGGCAAGGAAACTGTCCTTGACCCACATTACTGTTTTACTTGCTGATATTTTCTAGCTGTGAAGTAACATTCTGCCTCCTCTGGTCTTCTAACCTAGTATATCTTCTTGGTTTTTCTCTGGGGCTTGGGGATACCTTGCTGTTTATAACTTCAGCTGTGTGATACAAGGGACTTGCAGGACCTTGCTGAGCCACTGAAAAATTTACATTGGTGCACGTGGCATTTGTTCTGCTGCAAGTGCTCACGTGGATGAGAACATCTATGGAGGCAGTTCTGGATGGGACAAAAATACTTATCTGCACGACTATAAATAAACAGTGTGAATTTACAAATAAATAATTGTGATATTTAAAAAACCTCTTTAATCTTTTGTCCTTGTTACACCTAACATATGATAGTGGATATCTGGTCTGTTGGGTGCATTATGGCAGAAATGGTCCTCCATAAAGTCCTGTTCCCAGGAAGAGATTGTATCCTTCTTCACGGTCGTTTCAGAAGTGTAATTGCTGATTATATTTTACAAAGTGCTGAAAACAAAATTTAGCAAAAGTTTAATTAGTTGGCGTTGAAATGATTCAAAATTCATGTTAGCAGTTTGGTTTTCCACATCGTTGTGTTTTATTGTAGATGCTAGATGTCTTCATTTTGTTTGTTTGTTTTCCTCACTTTTGTTCATGATACTTCATAATTTGATCATTTCATTTTTACTTTCAGTTGATATCTGGTCAGTTGGTTGCATCATGGGAGAATTGGTGAAAGGTTGTGTGATATTCCAAGGCACTGATCGTATCCTTCCCTAGTCATCCTTGAACCTCATTCCACTCCCAACAGAAACATACTTTGATCCGTATAAAAACATAAAGCACTGTTTTCAATCATGTTTTAGTAGATCTACTGTTAACTATGAAATTAGTGTCATTGACCAAATTGTTGAGCTTCCTATTTTATTTTCTTAGCAGACTGTATTTACTGTAATTTGTACTGATTGAATCTGTAGAATTTGTATTAAGAGCTTCAGCTTTTCTATCTTTAATAGAATGCTGGTAGGTTAAAGAAAAAAGAAAGCGTTATCTGTTTTTTCTTACTGTTGTTCTTAGTAGGTAAGTGTTAGAAGCAGAACTCTACAAAGTCAGCATTCACTGTGCATGGGGGTTTTGCTTCCTGTTTTGTTCAACTTATTTTTTAATGTACGAGGTTTTTGAGTTTCAACCCAACTTTTTTTCTCACTCATTAGGATGCTGCTGTCCAGTGAGTGCTAATTGCAAGCACACTGCATGGAATCTCTTTTTCTTACTATTATGATTTAATAGAAAAACAATTTTTTTATTTTTTATAATCATTTTATGAAAACTTTATTTTGGACTGACTTTTTCTCTGCGATGATCATTCTTTCACTTTCTCCTCCAGTATTTTTGACCCAAGTTTGTCTTCACAGAATTGTACTTTGTTACATGATAGAAACTGTGGGAACCTTTCTGTATTAGAAATAGAAATTTTTATGCCCTCATGCCCTTAGGCTTGGGAAATCTCAATAACGTATTACTGGATCAGAAAGAAGCCTTTACACTGTGTGAGGTGAATAAAAATGAGCATTTAATCAAATGCATATTCTTCAAATAATTGTATGCATTTTAAAATATTTCCTAGACAAAGAAATTAAAAGAGGACTCATTATCAAGTTCCAGTTAGAGGAAAACTTGGATTTAAACCAATTTCATTCTTTATAAAAAATAGTCTTGCATAGGAGTAGTGTTCTAGGGCAAGATAGCCCAGATTGATCACTAAGTGCATAGAATGCAGAAGATACAGTTAAACCACAGTTGCCTCTGAGGGCTGTAAGGCACACGAAACCAAAGGACCTGTGGTCCAAGATATAGAAATAATACATTGTATAATATTTCTGCTTGTCAGCAAGGAAAAGCTGGCTCCACCACTTAGAATACCAAGTATGTGTTCCTGAAATCTTTTCATAGATATATGTTGTGTAGAGGCTACTTTTAATTTAAAGTTTCATGACACTAATCTTCAGCAGTTGATCGTTTATCAGTTAGTTGTATAAATGATTGTTAAATAAGTCTGTTTTCTACCTTTCTTCCTTTCTATATTGTTTTACCTTTTAAAGCCTTCAGACCAACCTAACACAATTCTTCATATATGTTATGTGTCTTTCACCTGCATGTCAGCATGGGCTATTTTGGTTTGTTCATGAAAAAGGAAGGAAATTTTGTCTGTATTCATTGAATATGCAAGTTACCATTTGTAGTTCACTGAAGGTCACTGAAGCTCCACCAGTCCATGTTTCAAAGAGTCTCCCCCTCTATCTTTTCAGAATGCATGGCTGTGCTTAGGGTTTTTCCTTCTGAGTCTTTCAGTTCCCTTTAATGTGAGGTACTGGCAGATAAGTCATGTTGACTTTTGCAGTTATCGGTCTGGAATAATTGCAATTGTCATTTTCTTCTAGCTGCAGCCTCAAGTCTGTTTTGACTCCATGGGTTAAGGGGGATGGATGCTACTGTGCATGGCCTCGGGATTTTCCTTTTTTACATTAAATTTTGATATGTCCTATTGCTTTGGTACTTAGATCAGGAAACCAAGTTCGCTGTGTTGCCTAACGATGTACCTGTGGCTGTCTTATGAGAACTGCCCTTGGATCCAGTGCTTTGTATATTGCTGTGTGGTCAGCAGGGATTTCTTGGAGAGTTGCAGCAGAGCCCTGCTTGGACTGAAGTGCTCCACACCATCAGGGTGGAGGGGCTCAAGCTGCTCCTGGCCATAGCCTGAATTGAGAGGCTGGCAATTGCTGTTGCACTAGAGATGAGAAACGTAGAAAAAACAGCCAGCATAGATACTGGAGATGAAGTAATGGAAAACGTGGAAGCACCAGAGAGTGTTTTCAGTGCTCTTCTATGCAAGAGGTGAAGGAAACTGCCTGCCTGACTGAGCATAGTCATGATTTCTTGGGAAAAGTCATGCTTTATTATTCATTGATTATAATATGGACTCTTTTCAACATTTTCTTGCAGAGTCTCACAAAGCAGACAGACACTCTGCTATGGACTCAAGGTCCTGGGTTACTTTTGACCTCAGGGTCATTAGTTGAACAGAAAGGGTAATTTTGTCTGCAGACTGCAAGGTTATTCAGAGGGACACTGCATGCTTTGCATCAGCATTAAGATTTTCTTCTGATAGAGTTTCTGGTAATGAGCATCACTTATTTCATATCCAACCTATGTTGGGGGAAATATTGTTGTTTCGATTTTTTCCCCACATTCTTATTCCTGAAGTGGAGTAGGTCCCCCACCCCAAACCACCACAGAATGCCCTTGAATTTGGCTAGCTGGTCTGCGCTGCTGCCACTCAAATCAGCAACCTTTTCTTGAATCTGGATTGGTGGAGTTCTTGCACAAATTACTTTTCCAACAAAATTTCCTGGTGTGTGTCAAAACTTGCGTTATATGTGCATTGTTTTAGCATGAGAGTTAATAATACTGACTTCTTAATTCTTATTTTAATATTGTCTTTCCATCGGAATGTGTTGAATAAGCAGATACCATTTTTAATCTTTGCATCAGAAGTCTAAATCTTTAGTGGGAATTATATTTCTGGATGTGTTTTTGGCATGCTAACAAAACTAAGTGCTTCTTAAATGATATTGTTTTTTAATTATAATTCAAAGTGCAGTAAATGTGTCTTGTTAAGAAATTGGTATGAGAATCAGTAGTTTGAAATAAAAGATTCTGAGTTCAGATACGTTTGCAAGGTTTGTGGTTAGATTGCTAGAGCTGCCCATTCCTTTCATCAGGAAAAATGCAAAGTGTTGATCTGAGTAAACTTACTGTATTAGGATTGTTGATACTGTAGAAGTGTGTGGAAGAAATACCACGTTTTATGTATTCTTTCATGTACTTTTCCCTGCCATCAGAAATCTTCCACGTGGTACTGTTAGGTGTAGAGCAGATGATACACCAGCAGCCTTTCTTTTTCTTTCTTTTCTGTCCCTGTAGTTGTTATGTTATGGGCATAATTACAGAATGGAACTTCGTTTTGACTCTTCATAAGTCATGTTTTTAAACCTGGCCAGTAGGTACAAATTCACTGAAGATATTGAAGCCTAATGAGTTGTGCAGCATTTCTTGTCTGTCCCTATCTCACAAAACTGACATTTTAGATTTTTGCCAGGGTAGCCTTTTGCATAGCAGTTCTGGAATGTTGTTGATGTCAGATTGAAGTTCTTGTTTTATTATTAGTTCAGGTTTTCAGCTTTTCAGATTTCTGTAAGCGATGTTTTTGTGTAGCACAGACTTCAAATTCTGCAGCTGATTTTCCTAAAGATATGGTGCAGATATTGATCAATGGAATAAAGTAATTGAACAACTAGGAACACCTTCAGCAGAATTCATGAAGAAACTGCAGCCTACAGTGAGGAATTATGTAGAAAACAGGCCAAAATATCCAGGTATTAAATTTGAAGAGCTCTTTCCAGACTGGATATTTCCATCAGAATCAGACCGTGACAAGTTAAAAAGTAAGACAGATTTTTTTCTTCTTCTTCTGGTGTTAATTTAAAATGTTTGTAATACGTTGAATTAAAAAAAAAAACAACCAACAACAACTAATATAAAATATCTGTATTGCAATAGGTGTTGACTTAAGTTCCATACCTGTTGTTTTTTCCATGTATGACAGATTCTGATTTTTCAGTATTAGTTGAGAAATACAAGGATATTTCACTGTTCTGTTTAGTTCGCTTCATTCGAACGTGTTGAATAATGTTTGTGGCTGAAACATTTCAGAAAGAAGTACTCAATTAAAGTTATTTGTATTTTTTCTGGTTCATATGGGAATGTAATTCGTATCAGCTATACCTGCACTTTAGATAAATGACCAAAAAAGTTGAAAAAATCTATCCTATGAACAGATATAAGGTTTTATACAAAATAGGCTACACCAAGTTATTTTATTATGCTACATTTGTAGTTGAGACAAAAAAACTGTCAGTCAGATGGCACTGCGACCAGTAGACATTTACTGTGCACTTAAAAATGTGGTTTATGAGCAATAGTTGATGACAAACTGTGACCTACGCAGCAGCACAACCGTTCAAAATGGAGATTGGTTTATGTCAGCTGCAGGGTTTGTGTTTTGGATTACAGTAAAATAACATTGACATTAGAGGATTGCGACCTCCTTTTGAAGGAAATCTGCAGCGGCGTAGGAAAGCTGCCATCTCTGTGCCTGTCCTGGCAGTGCAGCCTAATGCTGCTGGGTACTGAGCAAGATGTGGAGCTCCAGTCCTACACTGCTGATTTAAAAACGGTGCTCAGTGAGACCTGTTTAACTCCATGGGATTAGAAGTTAAATATTCGCATGTCACTAACAAATGGAACTTGTTGGGAGGCAGAGAAGCTTAGCAGATCTGTTTGTGTATGCTTTGTCAGATGTTGAAAATCTACAGCTCCTTACACGTATGTTCTTTTTCATTTTTACTTTCTAGCCAGTCAAGCTAGAGATTTATTATCAAAAATGCTTGTAGTAGATCCAGACAAGAGAATTTCCGTAGATGAGGCCTTACGTCATCCCTATATTACTGTCTGGTATGATCCAGCTGAAGCAGAAGCTGTAAGTTTGCATTTAAAATAAATGTTAAGATACCAATTTGATAATTTAAAAGGACAACTTTAGTTTGGATCCAAGTGCATGCCTTGAGTTCATTTTTTGGTTAGTGAGAGATGCACGTAAGCATTCAGGTTAATGTTCAAAGTGGTACCACCTGAAGAGCTGTTGGTGAAGTGGAATTGATACAGTTTTGAAAGTGGTTGTAGAAAGGAAGGTAGCTCCCTTTGTGGAAAGTGTTGCCTGCAGGGTGATAATCTGCTGTATTTTGGGTAGTGGGCTTCATCTGAGGCCCTGCCAAACCTTGGAAAAGTTCATTTTTAGCTGATGCTTTTAAACAGCATATCAGTGGGTGGTAGAACCTAAGTTCTGTAGATGTAAAATAAATGTAAATTAGAGATGTAGGGAGTAGACTGCCAGAGGAAGGTAACAATTGGCTAAGAAAATCATTTTGAGTTTTGCCTGCAGTGTAATAAGTAACATGTAGACTTACTTTTCTTTGTAGCCTCCACCTCAAATTTATGATGCACAGCTGGAAGAGAGAGAACATGCAATTGAAGAATGGAAAGGTAAGAAGGGAGCATGAGCAATGGCATTCATTGTAATAACTTATATGTAATAATACTGTGAGCTGTGCGTTCTTGTTGTGCTTGTGCTGGATTGTGTAACTGACTGGAGCATGTTCAAAATGTGCAGTACTGCTTGTGGTAATACGAAAATAAATTGATAATGGAAAAATATTCTGTTTGGAATAAATATGTGTGTGTGTACATATGCTCTGCAGTAGTAAATCCTTTCCTCTAGAAGAGTTGAGGGTGAGCCATCTTGCATGTACCATATCACAGAGAACCAAAGCAAAGTAATGGATCTTTGTTACATTTAGAAGTCTGTGATATTTTAATTCAGGTGCTGTTCTGAAGTCTGGTTCTCAGCCATATAGTGGTACAGGACTGACCTGTAGCTATTTAATTGTACCTTTATGCATTTGTAAATAGTACTTAAATCCCTTGTGATCTTAACAATGTTTTTTCTGTCTTTTCTACTATTCCTCCTACCTTATAAGAATTAATATACAAAGAGGTAATGGATTGGGAAGAAAGAAGCAAGAATGGTGTGGTAAAAGATCAGCCCTCAGGTTAGTCATCGTTTCAGTAGTTCTTCTATAATGTTGTGCTGCATAGAGTGATCTGTTGGACTAAAGGAATGAAAAAAATCCTACTTAATACAGGTAGGCAAAAGTTCTGTTGTTACAGACAAAGATTCTGATCTGTGGGCAGTAATTTTTCATCGTTGTGAAATGAGTTGTATGAAAGCAAGTTTTAAGTCCTGGAAATCCAGCGCACTGAAGGCTCCCTCGTAAGCTGAAATAATTGATGCCACCTTACATCAGCTGTTGTGCACGTGTATGTTATGCTGAATGCTTTCTCTTGGCTTTGAATGAATGTGTACCTTTCAAGCACATTCAGACATCTTTAGAGCTTTTTATTTTAAGAGAGCTAATAGTATGAAGTATTTTTGCCTGCTGTTGAATCTTGATGTTTGCTGCTGTTCTCTTGGTTCAGTAATTGGAATGTTGTGCTGCAGGTTTTAAGTGTTAGGAAACTTAGTGCTTGCATTTCTACTGTTTAATGGTTTGTCTGTTTTCGAAGAATTTCTCTGAGGAAAACGATGTGCTCAAACCTAGAAGTGTGGTTATTTGTGCTTGCGGTATTGTCTTGCCTCAGATTTTATTATGTTTGGTTTACTTAGCACAGATGCAGCAGTGAATAGCAACACCAGTCCTTCCCAGTCATCATCTATCAATGACATTTCATCCATGTCAACAGAGCAAACATTGGCTTCAGATACAGACAGCAGCCTCGATGCCTTGACAGGACCCCTCGAAGGATGCCGATGATCAGCCAGGATTGCAGACTTATCTTTGGAAAAGAACTCTTGCTTCCATTGGGCCTGAATTGCTTGTAAGTTAATGGAACAAAGTAGAAAAACTCCATGTTCTGCATGTTCTGCTAAAGTAATGCCTGTTTTTATGTTTACTCAGTTGTTATGAAACTGCCTGCTTAATGTTGTAGAATGAAAGCAAATCAATGTCTAAGGAGCAAAAAAAAAAAAAAAAAAAAAAAAAAAAGTTTAGACACTATTACAGGCTTTTCTTTGTTTCAGCCTATTTCAGGTGAGCAGTTATAATAGGCTTCTAGCCAATAACTTCTCTTGAGTGAGTTCATGCATCTTCAGTCCTAACTGGCAGGCTTTGTGACATCAATGGTTGTTTACATTTTAGTACAGTATTGCTCACTTGTAGGTTTTTTGAATGTACAGTGTCTATGAAGTTTGTTTTAATGTGTGACTATGGCAGCGTGCATTATTTAACGACTGGAGTGTTGTGTGTAAGTGTTAACTCGCATGTTGAACACTCTCAGTACTGTGTTTAAGGGCAGTTACTTTTCCATATAGCACTTTTTTGAGCCCTTTCTATCTTCGCTTCCCAACGGTTCTATCTTCTTGTAGAAGAGAAAAACACAGTGTTCAAAGAGTATAGCCATACCTTCATATTTCATCAACAAATATCTGACTCTTTGCTAGTTATTTAAACGTGGATGGAAGATACAGTGGCTTAGTTCAATTTTAAGGAAGGATGGGTGACATTTGTGAGACTGTGCCTGTTTAAAGGAGGGCAGAGTGCTAAATTGTTTTGTATTTTTTTAGCTCATGATACTGATCCTTTAACTGAAACAGAAAAGGAAATTACATATGTGATGCTCTTCATTCAGTAACAGGTGAATTGGAGAGACTTGCAGTCTAAGTGGCCTGAAAAAGAGCTGCATAAATGTTTTCCATTTTTTTAAATGGGTCCATTCTATCTAGTGAGTAATTAAAAAAATAAAGACATAGTAGCTTTGAGTCATTTGTCAATTAATTATTTACTGAACAGAACTTAGCTGTAGTTCCAAATTGAGAAATCCTCTCTATTTTTACTGGGAGAGGAAATCATGATGTATTGAACATGTACATTTTCTAAATACAGTGTCAGAGGAGATTATTTCTGTTTCGACACACACTTCTCAATGCAGTTTTCAGGACTGTGTAACACAGGCACCATTCTTAGAAAATGTTTGTGATAGAGTAGGGCTTAAATTACCAGGTACTGCACACCTGAATGTGTGCACATCCCTTCAGAGCAGTTGTGTGAAGTTCTGCTAAAGGATTTCGTGTGTGTGTGAGTGTTTGAGATGAACTGTGTGACTGTGACAGTAACAGAGATGTGCAAGACAAGGTAAAACACCACTTTCTTAAAGGCACTGTATTCAGCTGATGATCCAGCTACTGCTGACCTGAATATATACAGAGAACTTACAAATGTGCTGGCATAGCTAGCTGCTGCATTATGGAGATGTTTAGTACACTCTTGTAGAAGAGAACTGACCCTTGTTTCTGACCTTAGGATTTGAAAGCAGCAGTTTTTTCTAATGCAAACATTGCTTTCATGTTACAAATTGTACCTGTATGGTTATAAACAGCTTAATTTGGTGTAGCAAAAATACTGAGTTTGGCTGTCCCAGAAACTGAAATGCAATGCAGTGCTATTATGTTAACTTCAGAATGTTCATCTGGAATTATGATTTTTTTTTAAAGAAATCTGAGTTGTAGGACATTGAGGGCTTGGGTTTTTTGCTATTTGGTTTAAAACCAGTTTATTTGGATATTGATGATATATATGGAGTATTTTTAGTGCATTTTTGTCACTGACAAAAAATATATATATAAAATAGCTACTACTGTACAGCAATACAGTACAGGTTGCTGTTCTTTTGTATTTTTTTAATCACTGTTATATGTGTAAATTAAAATTATTAAAGACACCTATTCAAAATTACTATTAGTGATTTCAGACTAGCTGTGGTTTTGTTCCCTTCCTCTTCAGCCCATCAAAAGCTGCAACCACTATGGAATAAGACTAAAAACAAGCAAAAAAAACCCCAAAATAACAGAGAAGCTAATAGTTGAATCTCAGAAGTTAGCTATGCTTTACTGATTGTTCCTAGCAATGTTTTCAGAAGTGACCAGTGGCATAATGGTGTTAAGCCAGTAGTTCTTTATAAAAGGATGGCTTTCCTGACAATACAAGCTTAGCATTCTCTTCAAAAACAGCATCCTGTGAACAATCTCATACTGGTCATCTGTAGTCTCTGCCTTCCTTTTTTAGAAGGCTGTCTGAAGTCTTTGAGGAGTGGTAGAATACAGCATTTTATACATTTCATGTTACACTTGATGAAAAAGCTTTTTTGTTTATATGAACACGAGGGACAAAGATCTCCAGCAGTTTATTAATCTCCTGCTCTAACAACTGCAGGGCAAATCTGTCCCATTTACCTGCCTAGTAACTGACCACGTCTCTTCCTGTTTTACACCAGAGCCCTCTGTAAAGTCACCACCGTGCATTTTGATATTCTTGATTCACTATGGCAGTAATCTTCTGGAGTTTATTATTCAAGATTTATTTTTATCATTTTCAACTGAAGTTGCACTGTAATACATTCATCATTTTAACCTTTACTGTTTCAGAAGGTTTAATGCTGCAAAGATTTTTCGTGTCATTTAGATACCAGGTGGCCTCCAGGTCTCTTCCAACCCAAATTACTCTGTGATTCAAGTGGTTTTCTTATGTTGTTTTTTGGTTTTGAACACAGAACAGCCCTATCTGCATGATGTGAGCTGATATCTGACCTTCTCCTGGTATATACTGTTATCTCACATGTTTTGAGCGAAAAAAGCCCTGAGATTGAGCTTCTTTGTGAATCTTCCTGTAAGAAAAGCTGTTCCATACCTCATGTTCTTAATGGCTTCTCGCTGTTGCACACTTTGAAGTTTCTAAATTCTACCAAAACATCATTGCCTATGGAGTATGTATGAGATGAAAAGTATGATTGTGGATTTCCAGAATAACTGAAAACAAACTGCTAAGAACCCAAATAAACATCCGATTCTCAGAGAAAGCAGATAAGCAGATTATATTCAGCAAAGCACATGCAGAATAGATGCGTGCTGAAGTTCCCATGCTGTTCCAGTGTGCACATAGAGGCTGCACATGCACTGCATGCAGGCTTTACGTTGATTGTATTCCTGGCTGCAGGTTAAGTTTGGTGCAACATCTGTGTAATGGTTATGGATGCTGTGAGATCCCATCACTGTGGAAAGCAAAATGCACATGTAACTTCACAGGGGTTTGAAAGTATAGAGAATTTGGTGTGCAATATAATCACTTTTATTCCTAATACTAAAATCATGTATGTAAAGTGATGCAATTGACCATTTTTTTTGCACTTTGGCATTTATAAATATTTATATGTATTTAAAGATTAAGAATGTGTGTATACATATGCATATATATAGTAGAAACCTGCTCAGTTTTGTAAACACAAATGTTACCTTTCTCTATGAGTATGGGAGGCTTTGTTTAGTGTTAACACTACTGCAGTGAACATAAGCAATTTATGAAGTACAACTGAAAATAAGTGATGGTCAACATAGATGCAATCTGTAATCTTAACTGCTCACCTGAAGAGGAAAAAAGAAAAAAAAAAAAAAGGAAAATCTATGGCTATTAATCAGATTCTTTACCAGAAACCTTGAAAGATGTATGAACACTGAGTAGCTGACTGGCATTGCAGAAATGGAGTATGTTTTAAAGGTTTATCTGCGCTCATATCGTTTTTCCTCAAAAAGAAAAAGCCCCAAAAACCCTTAGAAGGAGAACCCTGGCGTTTTGAAAGCTGTAAGTACGCTTTGAGGAAATGGTATGGTATGACAGATTGTGTTTATTTTAATTGAAAATGCCAAAAACGCAAGAAGCAAATGTTAAAATGAGGGCTTTGTCTGCACAGAGCATACACAACAAGCAAGTCCGACGAGAACCAGTGTTTGCAAACAGCTTTTGGGGCTTTGTGTTCTTTCCTGCAAGGGTTTGTGTCGTCAAAATAATGAAAACAAAACTCAACCTGAACTCATAATTAACTAATTTGTTGGTAAGTTTCAAAACCTGTTCAGGACCAGAGGGCTTTTATCTCTTTAAGTCCTAACAGAGTATATATATGTTTATTCAAAATTAAGTGGGAGGGGGAAAAAAAAAACGTAATACCACATTTTTTATTTTTCTGACCTAAAGCAAGTACCTCAATTGCTAAATTGCAGTGCTGGATTGGTTTCTGTTTGGCTTAAAATTACCATTTGACAAATGAAGTAAGATTTGGATGTTCAGAATAAAAGTGAGCCACTGAGCCTTCCAGCAGGGAGCGCTGCTTTGGGCAGCAGTGCAGTCCCCTCAGTCAGTGTGTGCTGGAATTGAGCTGTTGATGTGCAGACAAATCCTTCCTGAGCACAGTGCTGGTCCTGAACACGGGCTTGGTTTTGTGTGAAGCGTTTCATTTGAAATGTGACTCTTGAAATGGCAGTACTGGAGTGCAGGGGTAACTGCTGACCAGCCTTTGTCTGTGTGTTCTACGTATGTCACCTGGATTCTATCAGGGCTTGATGCTAAACTTAGTGATGCTGTATGCTGGGAGCCAAATTCTTTCCTGGGATGTGTGCTGTGTAATTCCTGCTCAAAACTGGTTTTGCTCCGGGGATATGTGCACCCAGATGCAGAATTTGGACTGAAGTTCCTATAGGTGAATCCAATAACTTTGCTTTGCCACTGCGTCTTCAATTTTTTTTTTTTTAACATGTTCAAAGTATGACAGAAAAAAAATGCATTCTGGCTCATTCTCTTACGTGTATCTTAGATTGTCTATTACATGAGTAATAGTGGTGTCTTAAAGCTTATTACACAGCTTACCAAATCACTTTTAATTTTGCCCACCGCATGCTGAAAATGTCTGGAGCTGAACTGATGTTTTACGTAAGCCGTCCTTTCTCATATCAGTGTTGGAGGAAAGTGAAGAGATCAACGTTTCTGTTTGTTTTATAAAATGACTATTTTTGTAGCTCGCGTTTCAGTTGTTGGTTTTTAATCCCACAGCTTTGCTTTGTGGATGGAAATTTACCTGGGTCCTATATTTCAAAGAATATACGTAGAACAAGTCCAGTATACAATTAAGAAAATAAAAGTCTTCTGCAGTTTGTTACTGAAAATATGGCAAATTATTTTGGTCCATGTATTCAAAAGAAAATAGAGAATATACACGTAACTATTTAAGTTTATACTCCTTGATGCTGCTGCTTATTTTTTGAAAAGGTGCTTGCAGTTTTGCACAACAGAAATCGGCTTTGTTAATTGTTGGGTTTGAAGCACTTTAGGGTTCTTCTAAGCAAAACCAGTATACGGCGCAAGAAGGAATGACATGAAAATATTTGATGTATTTACATTTGGTTGTTATTCTGATAATTTGATCAGCGTTTTCCTTTAAATTCGAAGCTGTTCTCAGAGATGTAATATTTGAGATTTTTTTTTATGGGCTAAAATTTAACATGTAGTAAGAGATCACTTGAGAACCATCTCCCTACATAAATAAATACGTGTAGGGTGACTTCAACAGCAGCGTGGCATCTGTTGTATAAAGTATGGCAAAGTCTTTATTTCTAGCTTTATAGAAAGCACAGCTAGCTGTGGGCACTAGGATTTTTTCTTAAAGCAAAAATCTCCTATTACCATTTGACTCTTAATCCTAATCCAGATGTGTATACAGTGTGAGGCAGCAACATCTGCTTCCACTGGGACTCTACTGTAATAGCTGCTCTATGGATCCCATAGGAGGAGAGTCCCTGGAGCAGCACTCCAGCAGCCTGCTGCTCTGTGACGTGCTTGCTCACGTGTGCATTCCCCAGGCTGTGTCTTTACTTCGTAGTTTCTAGGATAACAAAAGCAGAGGAGAAGGCAAACAGGTAAGAGCCACATTTTGTGCCCACTACCTGAATGGGTAGTTCTGTCTGTTGGTGGTAATGAAGCCGGGTTAATGCCTGTAACACAAGCTGTGACTGTGTCTGCTAATGGGGAATAACTTTTTGAAGAGCCGTATGTGTCACTAGCTTTTCTATGAATTCAGAAGCTTAAATTGGTGCTAATTTTTTAAAAGAAAATGTAACAGATGGTTAGCAACGTATTTGTCTGTTTTTGATACTTATATTTTTCTTAAATGTTGGCAAACTGAACTTTATAAAATGACTGATGTGCATTTTCAGCTTCATCGGGTTTCCAAATTTTCCTAAAGTGTTTAAAATTCCATGGCAGTTACTGCTTCTTTGGAGCAATTGTTTCAAGTGTTTTATACGCTAATTAAATCAACATGATTAGAAAAGATAGCAACACATAACTACAATCCTGTTATTTCAGTTCTGGGGCATACTGTGTCCCACAGGTGGTTCCAGGAGAGTTGTTCATCCAGAAACCTCCATCAGGGCAAATCAGAGATCCTTGTGTGCAGGTACCCAGTGCAGCGAAACCTTCTTGGGTCCTTAAGATAACTTTAGAGAGATCATGATTTTTTTTTCATCTGTTTTTCAGAGAAATGGAACAAATGGAAATAATGAACTGTTGTTGTATAAATTCCAGAGAACGTATTCTGTGCTTTGCTCCAGAACACATGCTAGGAAAGGGAACGGTAGGCTCCTCGAGTGATTTGTTAGGAAATCTGACATTACCAATGATTTAACCGCCCCCAGGCTCTCTGTTCTGTGAGAACTCTGTTGGAAATGCCTTCAGGCTGTACCTGCCCTCAGATGCTCTGTCCGTCCCCTTTGGGCCCTGTTTGCAGCCCCTTTCCCAAACGTCACGGAGCAGCATCAAGCCCTGTCACCTGTCACAGTGTTCTGATATTTTGGCCTTAATATTCGTTACGATACGGTGTATAATTTCAGAAGAAAGATGTGCTTTGGAGTCTGATTCCATAAACACGTGGCCTCTTCTGCCTATGACAGGCTTTGATTGTCGTATCTCGTTCTTGACGCTCGTGCAATAGGAACATGTTCCCTTCGGTGCAGTGACTCTTCTGTCTGATGCTGGACTTTGTTTTCAGGATGATGGAAGGTATTTTTGTTGGACGGACAGCAGTCATGCTTCCTTGGTTGTTTTGTTTTGTTTCGTTTTTTGGATTCTTTTTCTAAGGAAACTAGAATTCCGTGAGGAAAGCTGCCAATAACTAGTTCTGAAATGCTAGTTAAAGCCTTGTTCTGAAGCTTTTTTTCTCCAAAAATCTTACCGTAAAACAGTACTAAAGCCACTGTAAAATGACAAATAAACATGTATACTTAAGCAATTTGAGCCGTCTGTTTATTTACTGTGGCTGTTTTCTTTCTCTTGTTTTTTTTTGTGTTGAAGTGGAATGTTTTATCTAACCAAGAGAAAGTGTTCTTAGTTATCTTAAAACAGAAATGTTTTGTTTACCACTTGAGTTTTCATTTCACCAAGAAACTCTGAGTATGAAAAATAAATGAATAACAGCTTTCTGAGGCTGCTGGGAGCTGCTTTCTGCTGATGAACTGAAACGTTTGGGCACACAAACGGCTCTTGGTTTTACTGCCAAGTAAGAAGTGTGTTTTCAAATTTGTTTTTCTAAGTTGCAGAACCCTTCTGGGTAATATTGACAGGTCTGTATTCACATCCAGACCGTGCCATAATTGGATTTTCAGACTTCATTGCTGGTTGCAGGTGGACTACTGGTGGCCATAGGGGCATGTGTGATTTTTCTGCATGTATATAAAAGGACACTGGTAGAAATCTCTTTTCACCTTGTGCTCTAACAGTGTTGTGTTTCCCTTTGTTCTCACCGAACAAGGCAGATGTACAGCTAAATGGAAAAAAAAGGAAAAAAAAAATGTTCAGTTGTAGCATTTGGAAGAGTTGAGCTTGTAAAGATGCTGATATGGTTTTTTGTTTGCTCTGTAAACCATCCGAGAGAGCTGTAGTGAAACTTATCTGCTACTTTGATCTAATTGCTTTTCATTTTTCTTTCTAATACTAAGGGGCTGGGTCTCAGCCAGGCTTTGGCTTTGAAAAAGCTTCACCTGTGATGTGATGGCGTGAATTAATTCCTACAGGAATATTGCTCTTTTATGGAGAACTTGTAGTTTTATCTCTTCTCTGCAGGGCTTTGCATCGGACTATCTGGATAAAGGGATGCACTGCAGATCCCACAGCTCCTGCTTATGTGATGATAGAATGTTTTTCAGGTTGCTTAAGCTACAGAGGTAGACCTAATGCTTTCAGTAGAAGAGTACAAAAGCAAAAAAGCAGCACCCTGACACGCCTGCAAGGAAGTGCTGCCTCACCCCTCTCACCTCGTGCAATAAGATGGATTCATATTTGATCTTTAAACAAACTGTTCTGTGGGGAAGGAGAAAAATCTGCTGTTTCTGTGTACACGTCATAAGATCTTCCAGAGAGACGTGTGGCTCTCAGCTGCATGGTCACTGCTGGGATTCCTTCTGAAGAACAAAGGCTGAGCCACGTGTTGCTATCATACAAGGTACAATTTTACATTCAGTACAGGTTCAAGTATACAGATGCCACTGTTCATGTTACAGCAGGTAGAAGAGTTTTTCACTTATGTGACTTCCAGGGTGGGAAAAATGTAAGCAGAACACAGTAACGAGTTTAATAAGAATGGTAAGCCAAAGCTTAGGAGAAGTTTGCTTTCTAAGAAGAAAGAGATGAGTGAGAAAAATAGAAGGGAATAAAGAAACGTAAAAAGATGTAATGGATTTCTTTCTTTACAGTGTTCGAGGCAAAGGATGGTAAATGCTAAATTAAGCCACTTGCTTCTGTCTGTGGAAAAGATGCATGTTGAGGTGTATTGTGTTTTTTATCAAACAGTCAGCTTGCATGACATACCTCCAAGTTACAGCCAATGATGTTGGTTCATCAGGGTTATTTATGTGATGCATTCATTCCTCTTACTTATGTGATGGAAAAGCACCATTTGGAAATGATGTCCCTCGTGTTCAGCATCTAGAGGCCCACACCAATGCTGCCTTGGGTTAAAGCCGTGTCATGCAATTCTGGCCTCACACTCTGCCTCTGCCCGGCCAGCAGTACTGCCAGGGGCCAGGGCCTGTGGGACAGTGGCTGTCACTGCTGTCCCCTGGGTCCGTGTTCTGTGCCCCCAGGGCAGCTGTCTGTGCTTCTTGGGCATCTCTGTGCCAGCTTAGCCCTGTCAGGTTTCTCAGAGGAGGATTTCCCTTGGACGTTGCTCAGGGCAGGTGCCTGCCAGAGCTCAGTGCCTTTCTGTTACAGCAGGATGTGTTTTGGTGCCCATCTTCCTTTGCCTTGTCACAGCTTGTGAGAGCTTTCTCCCTCCCCACATCTGTTTGGAGCTTTTCAGATATTTGGAAGCAGTTGACTTTGCTGGAGCCTGGGTTCCTTGCAGGCGCTTGTTTTTGCATCCACTTGCCTGCAAGTCTGGCTCTTGTCCCCACGATCTGCTCCTTCCCCCTCTCCTTTTGACGTTATTTGACCAACAGCCCATTGCAGAGCTGCCCTCAGCCATTTCATTTCTGGGCTGGGAGATTTGGGACATGACCAAAAAGTGACAAGAAAGTGTTTCACTCTGCAGGTGCAGGGCTCCTCGTGCTCCCTTTGCATGGGTCAGGAAAGGCACGAGTCAGATGATGGAGCAGCACTGCTAACCTGAACTTCTCCTCCAGCGGCAAAACCACTCCTGCATTGACAGTGCTGGCGCTCTGCGTGAGCTCTGTGCCTATTAATAACGTGACAGATGGCTGCAGTTTTGGATGGATCAGATTCAGTTTCGTGGATGGATGTTTTCTTCCACTGAGAAGGGAGGCAGCAGCTGCTGTTCCCTGCTGTGACGGCATGGTTGGTGATGTGGAAGTGTGACATGGAGACAGCAGTGCAGAGGAGCTCTGGGCAGTGGATGAGGCACATCCCTCTGCTTGAGGCCGCCGGGACCCTGTGGTGGCTGCAGGTTTTGGTCAGTGTGCAGAGCTGATAGGTGCTCAGTGCCAGGATGGCCCCTCTGCTTCACCTGTGGGCCTCAGTGCTGCCACAGACACTTCCATTCGCTCTAATGCTTGCAGGAGAACTCTCTGCATTTTGCTGATTGCTCACCCTGAAGCCATCCCAGAGCTGATGTATAACAAGAAGATACTGATGGGTGCGCTGAGCCCTACTGCCCACAGTGCCATGAAGCAGCACAGCCCATGGCCACTACAGGGAGCGGCAGGGACGTGGCTTCTCACTGCTCCTGGAGCTCCGTGCTGGCAGCAGGGCATGTGGGAAGGGAAGAAATGGCTTCTTCAGGCTGGATACCATCTTTGCCCATGTCTGCAGGCAACCTCACAGCGGGGGCTACTGAGCTCCAGGTGGGGAATGTGCAGCCCTCAGAGCATCAGTGGGGCACAACAGCCCCATGCTGTGTGCTGCTCACCCAGACTGCTGGCATTGCTCCACCTCTACTGACCTTTATTTGTGCACCATATTCTTTCACCTTGATTTGTATGACTTTCCTCATCAATGAAAGATCAGCAAGGCAAAGCGTTGTGGTTTTGTCTTGAGACAACAGAAGAACTCCATTCCAGACTCAGCATGGAGTTGAGATATCTTGCAAAATTATGTCTTATTTTGGACTGACTCGGAATGGATCTTGTGCTTCATCTTGAGCACAGAGTGTGGTCAAAACCTTGATGTGTTGGAAACAGTTCCTCCAGGGAGAGCCTGGTGCAACAGGATGGCTCCTGGGGCCTCAGCTCTGTGCCTTGAGATAGCACAGTGCCATTGCTTTGGGGCTGCGTGACACCTGCATGCATTATTCAGACAGAGCTTCCAGACCTGTGTGCTGTAATGAAAGAAGCAGTTTTCGAGGATTGAGCCTTTTACACGTGGGTTTGTCACGAGCTGTGTTTAGAAATCAGAACTTGATGAAAACGCGTGAATTGATTTTTGTAGGAAATTAAACCACCCGCAGTCGGGGTGCTCTGCATCTGAAATTGACTCTAGTGCTGTCTTGGTTTTTCTGTTAAAGAATTGCTTTTTTTGCTCTCGTGTTGGTTTTCAGCCCAGGTTCCAATGATTTTAGAACAGTGAATCCTGTAGTCTCATCTATAATTTTATTTTTAATTGATTGACTGCAAGAGGAAAATAAGTTCCTTGTGTTGTTGTGTCTTTTTTTTTCTCCACATCCCACTCGATCTCTTTAACAGTAAATGATCTATTTGCTGTGCTGGAAATGTTGAACAAATGGGAACAAGAGCAAGGCTCTGCTCTGCACCTGCAGCAAAGCTGCTGTGCCCTGCTTGGCCCAGCTCCTGTTCCTGGCTGCCCCACTCAGGTGTCTCTCGCTGTTTCCCATCTCTTGGCAGCAGTCCCATCCTGTTGGATGGCAAGTTTTTGGCAAAGAAAAACAAACAGAAAAGCAAACATTCATAACTCGATGGTGCAATGCAGCCGTCCCCAGCAGCTGGGCTGTGCCTGGGGATGAGGCCGGGCTGCCCTTCCCTGCAGCTGATGGCCCGATGTATGGGCTCCTGCTGCTGGAGTCCGAAGTGGGATGGGAAAGCAAAAAGGAAGTTTTGTTTTTTACTCCGAGAAAGGTATTCACCTTTTACCCACTAGGTGTCACGGTTGGGTTTGGGTTGATGTGGGAACTCACAGCGCTGCCAAGCTCAGCAGACTTTTGGGAGCAACGCCTTATGAAAGCAAGCCAGGAATTAATTTTCATGACTTAAAGGCGAAAAGCTGAGTGAGGGGGACAGGGTGGAAAGTGGAGGCTGCTGGGAGGAGAGCGCTCCATGTGCTGGGCTACATCAAGGGCAGTGTGCGTGGGGTGAGCTTCTGTAATGGGGAGAGCGCAGCCGCCCCAAGGGAACCCTGAGGGCTGTAAGTAGGGCTGGGGGGCTGCACCCGGCGTTCTCTCAGGGTCTTCCCAAGGCACGTTTCCATCTGGGACTTTTGTCCTTGCATAAGGACAAGGCTTTGGCTTTAAAGTAGCAAAAAAGCAGAGTGCTCCCGAAATCCCTCTGGAAGCTATCAGTGTAACAAATGTCTGCTGCTCCAAGCGAGCTGTCGTGTTTAACTGCATTTTGGATGATGTCTATAAAAACAGCAGCTGTCTGCATGCAAACGGGACTTTCCAGCAGTGCATAATATGAAAAAGAATCTTATTGCTAATTTAAAAACAGAGAAAGCAAGAAAGGCTCAATGAGCTCAGATAACACCAGCTCCACATCAGCTCCAACAACGCTCCAGACATCTGTGAGAGTCATCAGATTAACGTGATGTACGCTCCACATCCGCAGCTCTGTGCTGCTTAAGATCTAGGAGCAGGCAGTGTGGCTCTGCCTGCAGCTACGGCCCTGCGGGGCTCCCTGTCTCCTCCATCCCTCCCCTCCTCCATCCCATTCCTGTTTCTTTTCCTCCTCTGCTATTCACACTTGGTGACCTCCTTCATGAACAACAACTTCACTCTATGATGACACTCATTTAGTGACGTTAACCTCGTTAGTAGCAGCTATGAGCAAGAACCTAGCTCTTAGCCTGGCACATTTGGCGTTGGCCAGAATAGGGCAAGGAAAACCTGTGCTCAGAAATCTTCAGCTTCCTACAGAGCATTCACAGAGGGGAATTCTCCTGGGGCAGGAGTATGGATGCTTCGTTCTGGCAGAGCAGCCAGCTGCATTGCAGGGCGATGGCATTGTAAAACGTTGCAGGAGTTGGCAATGAGCCCAATCCATTGCTATTTGGCAAGTGCTGGTACTTGTTTCGTTTGCACATCCAGGAGCTGAGGTGTGTTTTGCTCCATCTCTTGTTGTTTTGGGTTGCTCTGCATTCCTGCCCTGAGATGGCTCTCAGACAAAGAACACCACAGTCCCATGGGAAGGGCTGCTCCTGTGCTGTTCTTTGGCCCCTGCAAAGAGGGGAAAATGTCAGGAATTTCCCAATATCATCTTCAGCTGTTGGTTCTTCATCTGAACTGTCCAGAGCTGGATGGGATGGACCAGAACCAGAACTTCTGGGTTTGCTGCTCCACCACAAGCTCCGAGGTCATCTTTGACAGGGATTAAGGAAACAAACAAACAAACAAACAAACAAAAAGACAGCAAAACCACATTCAGACAGAACTTATTTTATGCTTTTGTGTTTTTTCTTTTCCTTGTGATTCCCACTGACACAATTGCATTGGGCAGTGTATGAGGTTGATGTGCAAGGAACCGTTTGCATGGAGTGGGATGGGACATGCCATAAATGTGAGGATTGCTCAGTGCAGCACTGCTCTGCTCTGGAGGAATGCTGCAAAGTCTTCCCACCCCAGGAAAGATGCTGAAGAAGAGGGAAGAAAAGAGGTCATTTTCCTGTTCCCTTCACCCCTCTGCAATTATTCTCCAGGCACTATTTGCATTTTGCCACCAACACTGCACTTGGAATCTGCTGCCAATTGGAACTGATGGGTTTTCTGCAACTGCATCTGAGTTTCTCTCCCATTAATGTGGTGCTGTGTGTCTGTCCCACGTGCTGCTGACTCTTCATTGATTTCTTAAGAAAACCCCTTCCTGAAGGGACCTTCCCTCCTGTGCCCATCACCAGGTGCGTTATTTCATCTGAGTAGGGTTTGGTACCAGCAAAACCCAGGGAGGGAATCAATGCATGCCCTGCACTTGGGCACTGTTTTGGGGTGAAAAAAGTGAAATTGTACTGAGGCAGAAGAGGAGAGCTCAGCATGGGCACCGAGTGAGCGCAGCACTGCTTCTTGAAGAGCGGTGGTAATGGAGAGTCATTACCATCCGTTTGCATGTACAACAACAAGAAGGGAAAAGATAAAAAATCAATAGAGGAATCAATAAAGAGCATCTTGCTTGAGGACTTGTGCCTGGAGCACATCATCATTAGGCACAGGAAGAGCGGGCACTGCTAATTGAGGGAAGCACGGGGAGTGCAGGGAGCAGCAGCTGGAAAACCCTCCGAGTTTCAAACCACTGCAGGTGCTGCTCTGTGCACAGCACAGCACTGATGCTGTCATCTGCAGGTCTCTCACCATCACCAGCATTTTGGGGACATTCTAATGAATGCATGAGAGCTGTGCTCCATCCCTGGGCTGCTGGGGCTGGCTGCTGGCAGCACGCTCACTTGGATCTCTGCAGTTGTGTACTGAATGAATAAACGTTTGCTGGATCCACATTCAAGATGCTCTCGTCTGCACCATGATTGAGTGGACCCCATGCAGCCACCATTGGGTGACTTTGTATGTTAGTTCATTTTTTTCCTTTTACTCCTGATTACTGCCACTGTACCATTTACAGACCCTGGGGAGGAAGGGGGGAAAAATTCACTTTTAAAAACAGCAATTATTCTTAGTAAAATATTGTAAATAATTCATTGCTTGCTGGCCGTGGTGAGCTGTTAAATGCCTTTCAGCTGCTCATGTACAGCCGCTCAGCACCACTGCCACACTGAGCTCAGTGCTGTGCACCCTGTGCTCTGCTGGCTGTGTGCTCCCATACAAATAATGCAAGCTTTCCAGAAATTCACATTTTCTATACAACCCTCTTTCAGTTATTGTTCATCGTCCTTCAGGCTCCATGATAACTGCAGGCTGTGCAGGCTCCACAGTCACTGCTGGCCAGGAACCAGCAGGCACGGCATGGGGACGCTTCCCCCAAAGGCCACCAATACATCCCCACTGTATTTCCCTAACAGTGACCTTCACCGTGTCTCTTTAGAGATGGGTAAATAGCACCTGACTCATTTTACAGTGTTCAGTGTTGTCCCCAGAGTGGCACCCCCAGCACGGCACCTGCTGCTGTGGCATTTACACAGATCTGAGCTTCGTGCACAGCAAATGCCCGGACATAAAGTGGAAAGGGGAACAAATTTCTCATCTGCCTGTTCTGAAAGGAGTTTTTCAATTTACAGTTGCACTCAGCAGAAATGGGGCTCTAGGAAATGGGGAATGAGCCACCTCTGAAGGAATGGGAGAGCTGGGGATGCATTATTTTTTATTAAAAGGTGCCGTGAGACCCCTCAGGTGCCAGAAGTGCCCCAGCAGCAAGCAGTGCACGCACTGGAGTTTCTGCTGACATCACTGAGCGCTGTTTTCATTGGGACTAGAAGACTGGAACACCCCCATTTGTTGCAGCATTTCTGCTGAGGCTCCAGCATGGCCTCAGTGCTTACACAGCTGTGCAGAAGTGCCTTCCCTGCAGCTGGCCATTTGTTGCCACCACCCAATAATGCGAGCACGGTTATTTAAATCAATAGTAATGAATTTTTTCCTCATTTCTCCTATGATAGGCAATGCAGCAGGATTACAGCAACACGGCAGGTGAGGTTTTCCCTTTATTTAATGACTGGATGCAGCAGTTCCCTCCAGCCTGTGGGCTGCATCATATCAGCTGTCACAGGAGGAGCAGCTGATGGAGCTGCTTGTTAGCATGGTTCCTCCTCAGGAAAATGAGGATGGTTTTTAACAAAGCAGTGCTAAGGATGAGGTAAGGTGCTCTCAGCTGTGTGATCAGCTCTGGGCCCGCATCCCTCATAGCCCAATTTGCCACAAGGTACCCAAGGATGGATGAATCCCTTACAGCTGGGAGAGAGAGGTGGAGCCTCTGCAAAAGGTGGGGTGGGTGATAAAAATGATGGGCAGCCCCAGATTGAGAGTGAGTTATTTTTTACCAAAGATTCCTGACCTGATGGGCATAAGGACCTGCAGAGAATCCTCTGACTGACTGAAGGAAAAACCAGGTGAGATGTGTTTCTTAAAAATTAAACTCATTTATGTAGTAATTTGCAGGAGATCTTGGTGTGTCCTCCTCCAGCTGAGTTTGTCATACTCCTCAGTTTTGTTCCTTTTCCTCTGGTTCATGAGGCAGGGGATGGCACATATTGCTGTGGGAGCTGTCATCATGTGCATGTGTTGTGCCCCAGGTGCAGCTCACTTGGGACTTACCAACCTGGTGAAAAACAGGAGGCATCCCTGCTAATGAAAGCAACTTTCAGAAAGTTCAGGCATTCTTCTTTCTGTATATGATATGTAGGGCAGTTGCAAGTAAGAGCAGTGGTTGTCAATGCCTGTGAAACCCAAAAGTGAGACTTCCCATCAGCCTGCAAAGGAAACTTCTTGATGTGTGTTCTAAACTTCAGTGTGTTCTAAAGGGCTTTATAAAGCAGGATTAATAACATAGCCTCCACTTCCCAGCTAGAAATATTAACTAGAGAGAAAAAAGATTCTTCCAAGCTTGCTTGGCAGTAGAGGTAGCGAGAGCATCGCATCTAAGAAGTCAAGGCTGAGCACACCTGGTGCTCTCAAGGCAGTACAACCTGAGGAGTAAAAGGAGCGTGGAGCTTTAGTGCTTGTTTGCCATGCTGAGGAAGAACCCCACCCTGCTTCGCTCATTACTGCAACGTTTAGTAAAGCATTAATCCTGCTTGTTGGTAATAGCATGCAAATTAAACACCTGCTCTAGAAATCTGTAGTGCTTTGTTCCATTAGATGGTGTTGACGTGTCAGATATTTGGGCTCTAATGCAGAAAAATGGTGCCATTTTCATTTATCTTGCCTAATAAAGAACAAAGGTGTGCACTGATACAGGGCTGCCCATAGCAAGCGACCGTGTGAAAAACAGTGCTTAATCTAGCCACTAAATTACATGTGACATCTCATTTAAAGATAAACAGCCTGAAGGCATATGTCCAAGTGGCACTGATGAAATTTTTAAGCATTTCTTTGAATTCTCATTTAACCTCAATTTGGTAGCAAAGGTGCTTTGTTGGCTGTGAAGAATTGCTTCTCCTGCTCAGGAAGCAGAAGGAGAAAGCTTTAATGGGAGACATGGAGATGAATTGACCCCCTCCAGTCCCATAGGACCCAGCAGATATTGGTCATGAGATGGGTGGAAGAGGCTCTTGTGCTCTGGGATGTTAAAGCACACAGTTCCCTATTTGCAGAGCTGGACTTTTACAAGAGATTATGTGAGTGTCTGTGTACCTAAGGTTATCACTCATCTCTTTGTTCCAGTTCCTGTTCATTCAGCCTTTTTTGCCCACTGTTCCTTGGGCTGTTCTTGTTTTCCTCTGGGCCTGCTGAGGTGGGATGCACATCTAGACCAAATAATTCAGCTCAGGTACTTCCAGTGCAAAACAGAGGGGGTTCACTCTTGTAGGGCTGGGTTCCTGCTTGTGCAATGACAGCACCATTTTTCAGCAGGGCTTCCTGCTGGAATCTCTCTCCTGTGGGCCATCAAGAAGAAATGAATTCCTTGTTTGTGTGTGCAGCTGGGGGACTTCTGCACCTCGTACAGCCTGTTCCTAGAGGCACACAGAGGGGCAAAGCGCCTTGTGATAGAAATAGGACTTCCAGAGGGCAGGCACAAAGCGCTGCATTCTCTTGCTTGTGCTTGGTTATCTTTTGTAGTGGCTGCTTGAACTGGTGTCACTAGGAGGCATTTCCGTTGCTGTTTCTGGATGATAGCCTTTGACTTGCTTTCAACTTTCTTCTTTTGAAGAATGCTCCAGAAATAAGCTCTGATTTATTTTTGTCCAGCTCTCCAAAATTGTGTACCGGTGATATTGTTTGCTTACTTGTTTTTCCCCCATCGTATGGCTGGCAGTAGCAGGAGCTCAGGAGAGGCTGTTTTTGTGGCTGGACACTGAACCCTCAAATGCTCAGGATGCAGACCTTCAAGTCCTGAAAATCCCAATCCCAGCCATGCCAAGAAGGCAGGCAGCAGGCACTGTTAGACCATCCATCCTTCTAAATCTTTGCTTAGCCTTGCTTAACAGGATTTCTTTGCATGTTCTCGAGCTGTCCAGTTATCCTAGTATTTGATCAGGCCTGTGGCCACCCATTGCCAGCTCCAGCACTGCCATACATCAACTCTATTTCTCTTTGCTTCCCCTTGAGCAACATCAACCTCCATCTACAATGTGGTGCTCAGGATTTCCTGGTGTGTGGTCACTTAGCATTCAGCACTTGAGAAGATCACATACCTCTACTTGTTCGGTCTTGATTTTGATCAGAAGAAGAGCTGATGTCATTTCAGCATTCCTAAAGCTCCGCTCCCTCCTGGCTTTTTTTAGAACAGTTTGATAAACAGCCTGTGCTTTGTTGATTCTTATTTCTGCATCTCGAAAAATGTGGCAATATCCATAATAAACACAGCCTGGGATTGCCTGTGGAGAATATTTGCTCTCTTAGAACAGGAAAGGGATCTATTCTGATGATGGCATTTAGGACTTGCCTTATTAAAAATGAGAAAATGGATTCATTTCCCTTCATGTAAAACATAAAGTGCAGAGTTTTTTTTTTCTTTCAGTTTAATGAACAGTTTGCCCTCCCATGGCTCTTTCCAGCTCTTCACAACCCTTTCTGGTGCCTGGCCATGCAGCTTACCTCTAGCGAAATGCTCTCGGCCTGCATGGCACCTCTGGATGTTGTGCCCCAGTCAGCCCTCTATTTGTGGTTGGCACAGACTTCCTGCCTGTCTCTGCGGCCATAGGGAAGTCACATTTCCAATCCCAATGCCTCTCTGGTGCTGTGGGTATCTGGTGGTGGAGATGGCAGCCTGCGAGAAGCTGGACCTGCTCCACCAGCTGAGCATGAGCTGGGGATGCACAGAATCATAGACCCATAGGGGTTGGGGGAACCTCTGGAGACCCTCCAGCCCCTGCAGTAGTCTGCAGATGATTCCTCAGACCAGCTCTGCTCGTTTACATCCCTGATATCCCTGGACATAATTTGCCTATGATTAGCACAACTAGCCAGAAAATGTATTCCAGAGTGGTTTGTGCAGCAAATGCTTGGAGAAGCTGTTGAGATGCCAAAGGAGTCCTAGAATCGTTAGGGTTGGAAAAGTCCACTTCAGAGCATTTAGGCCAACCATGTGTAGCTGGGGCCGTGCTGGGTATCCTCCATTACCATGCTTCTGCAATTGTGCATGAGGTGTTGCAGTGAGTCACAGCAATGACTGTTAATATTTGGGTGGCCTCACTTGATTTCACTCGGCATGGTGTAGGTGATTTGGAAACTCACAGGAGCAGTAGGCTCTGAGCAGCCCAGGGAGCACGCAGGGGCAGCTCCTGCCAGCCCCAGCCTGCAGGCAGACCTCTCTGTGGCACCTCTACTCCCCTCAAGTGCACTCAGATAGCATGTTAAGGTGCCCCAAAATCATCACTGTATGGTTATGGGGTTCCCTATGCTTTTTTCTGCTTTGTGTAACACCCTTGAATGGCAAATCCAGGGCTCTTCTGGCCCACATCTTTTTGGCATCCTTTAGCAGGGCCCTTATGGGCAATAGCTGCAGGGTGGGTTGTGATCTCAGCTCACGGTGTGAAGGGAATGGGGTGTCTGAGAACTGCTGGTGTAACAAGATGTGAGTGAACATGGCAGCAGGGAATAGCTCCTTAATTTAAATAACGAGCGTCCCTTGCTGCCTGACAGATGGTCACTTTCTGAGAAATGCAAAGTCTTTTTGGAGGGTCAGGCTGCGTGTATTTACATGGAATAATGAGGGAGAGACACTGGTCCCAACACATGCTGTGTTTTTCACATTTTTCCGGGGGTATTCCCAGCTGTCTCTGAAAAGAGCAGATTTGATCCTTTGCGAACCTTGTGTGAATCAGACCACGCGTTGGCACACGAAGAAACCAAGTGGCCGCAAGAACGCCTCTGGTATTCAGGCAGCCATTACAGTGCCCTTTGAGCATCTTTAGCTGTTAGAAATGAAGCTCGATGCTTTTGCCAGAAAACATGCTGGGCTTGAATGTGCCCTTACTTGTGCAGGGCTGGCAGCAGTCCAGCATGCAGCTATCTGCACTCTGGTGGTGTCTCTGGGAGTTAACGTGGGGGAAGATGGATGGATGGCAAAGAATTTGCTCAGGGGTAGGGCATCTTCCTACGCCTTCCCTTCTTGCTGCATCCACTTTTAACGTAAGAACTGGAGATCGGGTGCCTGAAGTCATGCTTTAACCAGTATTTATCCCACCAGTGCTGATGGAGTATGAGCAGCAGAGGTATAACTTGAATGAATGGCTTGAAGGAGTTCTTCAACCACCCTGAACCCCTGTGGAGGAACTCTTGGCAACGGATACCCTAGACACTGTTTCTCTTTACCACAGGTGAAGTCAATAGAGTCCCATTAAGGTTTACTTGAAATGGAAAAGATCAGAAACCCTAGCCTTGATCCAAAGAGACCCACTGTAGTTGTGTCATCTTTCTCTCCTCTTGTATCTGGGTCTCTTGTTCTGCACCACTTCACTCAATGCCAAGGAAGCATGAAGTGTAAAAGCCTTGTGATTCTGAAAAAAAAAATAGACAAAAAGTTTGAAAACATCTAAAGGCAGCTGAGAAAGGATCCCCAAAATTCAGTAGTTTCCTACATCAGTGCCACATGGCTTCTGATCTGTGGGTAGCGCTGTGTTTGGAAGAAGCCAAGTCAATCAACACCCACTTTTCACAGTGAGTCACTACTGGTGTCAAATTCTGGTCCATGCCCAGTGCCAGAAAGTATTCTCCTCTAAATGGGGAGTGTGCCATGCCAAGCTGCAAAATCACTTGTTTCCCAGACATGGCCCTCAATTATCCACTCCCTGCCAAGTCTAGGAGATGGAAAGCTGTGTTGTATTGTGATAAGGTTTTTTTTCTCCTCATTTAGTTAATACCTCTCTGAAGGTACCTGCTGCTTTTCTGCATTCCTATGCTCAGGCCAGCAGAGCAACAGGAGATTTGGGTCACACAGGTCCTTTTGTTTATCCACTTCCTTTGGCCAACACTACTGGTTGCAACCCTGTGCACCAGGGAGGGAGCTCCCAGGAGCCTCAAATTGGAATGAGAGGTAAATGGGGGTTGGAGATTCATGATCCTTGAGATTCCTTCCAACCATGAGATTGGAAGGGATTGAGATTCCAATTCCATTCCATGATTCTGTGAAGGCCTTAATTGTACCAGCAGAGATTCAGGTTGGATATTAGGAAAAATTTCTTCTCTGATAGAGTGTGATGCAGTGGCAGAGCTGCCCAGGGAGGTGGGGGAGGGAAGGGGTCACCGTCTCTGGGAGTGTTTGGGAACTGTGGAGATGTTGCACTTGGGGACATGGTCAGTAGGGGTGCATTGGGGTTGGAGTTGGTGATCTTAGTGCTCTTTGCCAGCCTTAAAGTTTGCATGATTCTGATTATCAGGCAGTGGACCTGATCTCTGCATCATTCCCTGAAGACATACAGAGCTGTTGGCTTTGCTCCAGCATACATAAGATGTTACAGCTTATAAAAATAATTTTTCTCCTCATAAATTGGTGTTTTGTTTTGTTTTGTTTTTTTTTTTCCCTAGATGAACCAAACCAGGTGATGGTTACCACTGCCATTCATGTGAATGGAAGGTCTTTGCAGGGCTGGGAAGAGGAGAGATTGGAGTGACAAAGCAGTTAGTAGCTTATAGCACTGATGGGGAGAAAACCTATTGAGTGGTGGCATTCAGAATGACAGGGGAGGTGGGGACAAGCAGGAGTAACTGGCTGGAGCATTATGGGATGCTGCCAAAGAACATGTCCAGGTTCACTGTGCTGTGCATGCTGCAGTTACGGAATGCCAGGTACTTCCTCCATGCTTCCAAATAGAGAGGAAGCATTCGTTTATCTACGTTCAGAAAATGAGCATCAAAGAGGACCTCCTGCTGGAAAGCATTTGATGCTTTAAAGGATAGAGAGCATCTGAAAGGGCCTTAAAGGGGAGAAATCTGACAGGTGCTCAGCTGCTCCTGGCAGTCTCGCCTTGGAGCCTCCAGTTTAGGAGCTGTAAGAGTATAATAATGCACTGGGGCATTCAGAACATAAATTGGTGTTTTGTCTTTTTTTTGAAGGGTTGCACTAAGGATCTACCCTGCAGCTGCTGGATTAATTAAATGCTGACAGCCTGCTAGAATGGGAGAGGGGATTTCTCCTGCCCTTTGTGTTGCAGACTGGAGTACACAGTAACCCTTGGAAATGTGCTTGTTCCATTAGGCAAAATCAATAAGGCACAAATCTCTGAAATTCTTCTATTATATTACAAATAGACTAAGCCCCTGTCCCTGGCAAGAGCAATCACTGCTTTTGTGTTCTAAAAAGATGCTCGTGGTTGTGCTCTGGAACAACAGACACGTTTCAGCTCCTTGACAGTAATCTTTCAATAACAGAATCCTCATTTTTGTATACAAATCTTGGACTGTTTCTCAGCTGGGCCAAAAATCAATGGATCCAGCTTATGTCACAGGGAACCATGCTTGTGAAGGCAGAAATTGGGGCACAGACAGCTTTTGGTGGCTCTTGAGGGCCAGCTCTGCCTCTTGCCCTTTCTTGCACACCCTGTCTCCATCAAATGCATTGCACTAATGAGCTGTATATGCAGCGTGTGTCACAAAGGTTTATTTTCTTAAGAGAAATAACATGGAGAAAAACTAGCAAAGAAAGCTTCAGCCTTATTAGTGTCATTTTCTCAGAAGATGAGTCTCTTGCTGTCTCTCTATCAGCCTGAAAGACCCACTCCTGCCAAAGTTTATTTGGCATAAACATCTGAATATGTTATACAGAAAAAAAATTATATATATGTATGTATATAATGGATGGGGCAGGGAAGAGCAGTGTTAAGCTGCAGTGAGCAGGGCATGTGGGACATAGGAAGCTGGGGATGGGGTTGACTTGAGGAGGTGGATGGGGTGGTTGGATGGCAGGTGGACTGGATGATCTTAGTGGTCTTTTCCAACCTTAATGATTCTGTGAGAGTTTCTGCCTTGAGAAATTGAAGAACAGCCTGGATGTGGAAAATGCTTCTGACAAACCCTTACTGCCAGGGTGAGGAAAGGGTTGGGTCACTCTGGGTCCTTCCCAGAGCTGTTTGTCACCAGCCCTGAAGCTGTTTCTCAGGCCTGCTAGATACCAAAGAACTCCTTTCTCAGAAGTTTCCAGAACCAACATTCCCCTTGCAAAAATGGCTTTTTAAGGAACATGTTTTGAGGGGTGGAGTTTAATGGCCCTCTCCAGCATCCCTAGCAACCTGCCTTAAAAACCTCTGCTTGGAAATCTTTTAATCTTCTTTGGATGCTTTTTGAATGTTTTCCAGGAATGTTATGCTCTTTCCCACTCACAGCTTCTAAATATATGCTCTGTTTGGGCTGCAGACCCCGGTCTATTTTTACATTTATTTCCAGCACGTTTAAACTTCTCTATCCTTGATAGAACAGTTCGATCTGTACTTCAGCTGCTGTCCGACCTCAGCATCACTCAGAAGGAGCTCATTATTCTAGAGGACTTCTGCCTGGATGAGAGCTGTGACAGCTCCTGTCTGGCTGCAGGCAGGCTTACAGCTGGAGGAAAGTGGGCAGGAAGGAAAGGGACCAGCTGCTTCTGTATAAAGGAGCAATTAAGTATCTTTGGAGCCTTTGTCCTGTTTGTAAATGGTTAACTGAGTTTGGGATGGAAAATACTGTAATAGAGCAGTGATTTTTCTCATTCCATTGAATTGGAGTGGACAACAATTTCCATCTGTAAGGCAGCAAACAAGTGGCTGCTTGCTTCCTCATCCTCCCGCGTGCTGATGTTTAGCAGGGCTTTATTTATTTGGTTAGGTGCACGGGATATGTGCTCACTGTTTGCATAAGTAGGATGGGAATGGTGAAAAGCAGATTTTTATCATTGTTACTCTTGTCTTTGTTTGCTGTTCCTGTCCCTGGGGTGTTTTTCTGGATCTGATAAAGATTTACAGGAGGGAAAGAGGGGAGGCTGAGGGAATGCTCTGTGCCATGTGGGCAGCAGGGGACCTATTCCGCTTGTGAGCAATGACTTGATTAAGCGTACATATCTCCACTTGACCTCTGGATGAAAATGTGCCCTTTAAATAATGGTTCTAAGTCTCTAGGGTCAAATCCAAGCTTTTGTGGTGCAAACCACTACAAATGAGAGCACCATCTCCTGGGCTGGCATCCTGCTGAGCCCAGAGCAGCACCAGGATGTCCCAGCAGGGCAGCTGGCCTGGCTCTGCCTATTTAGTGTTCTTCCCTCTGTGGGCTGTGCCCCCTGGGAGCCCTGGAGGTTAAAGCCACCTCTCCTGACAATTTGGAAATGAGGTGAATGAGAAACCCAAGCCCTGGCTCTGTAAGAACAGAAACAAGACCCCTAATGCAGCAGACCGGTGGCACGGAAATGCTGCCTGACACCTCCAGCATGAAGGAGAGAGTTAAAGACAGAGTGGGTGCTTGTTCCTCCATGGCATTATCTTTGTGATTGCTTTTCATATCTTGTTTACTGTGGTTAGCAGAGCAGCTATAATATAGAGTGCTGGATGCAATAAATCTTGTTGCAAACAGCACGCTTTTCATCAGAGCTCATGGAACTGCAAGGTAAGCATGAGAGAGAAATCTATAGATTTAATTATATAGAAAGTCTAACCCATGTAGATCTTACTGGAAATTATAACCACAATGATTACATCGTGTGCAGGTTTCTTTGTATTATGTATATTGTCCCATTTTTTGTTATTTTGAAGACACTGACAACAGCAGTGTGGTGTCTGCTGTGGCTTTGTACCGGCATGGATGGGCTGAGGGTGTCATTAATTTAAGGGATGAGTTTTGAGGGGAGGTGGGATGGGTGGTTTTAGGGCTTTTTTTCTTCCCTTAAGCTTTGTGCCAACCACTCACTCTCGTAATCCCAGATGGTGGCTTGCTGCACTCCTCCCTTGTTGGATGGTGAGCATCACCACGCTGCAGGGCTTTCCTTTGCCAACACAGAACTCATGAAGGCAGCAGAGGTGCAAGGTAGGCTCATGGAGGCTTGTGCTGATGTTGGATTCAGGCAAACACCACAACACGATCTGTGGTTGGGAGAACCTGCCCTGGCCTTCCCAGCTCAGGAGAAGGGCTGGTTGTGGTTCAGTCTTATGGATGTCACCAGAGTTGCACTTGGCCACTGTCAGCAGGCTGCCCAACGTGGCTGTGGGGTTTGTGGTGCTCAGAATAGGTTTGGATGGTTTTCAATGTAGCCCTGGGTTTTCCCCATGGCAGTGTTCAGAGTCTCCTGGATCTGCAGATAGCTGAAACTTGCAGTGCTTTATTTCTCCACCCTTCATTGCAGGCAGGGATTTTCTACTTCACGCAGATGCTGGGAAGATAGAGGTAATTGGTGACTGTAAGATGCTCTGCTTGAATGACAAGAGCTGTGCAAATACTAGCTCAATACTAAAAAACACATTTTTCTTCTATTTTGTACTACAGAGAGTGAAATGTAACCTAAAATCTAAGCTTCCACAAGAAAATGAAATCCATGTATTCAATTAACACAAACCCTCTCATTTCCATCCATCAGCTGCAGATGCTGGGACTCCACTCCTGCCTTGGTAGCAGTACTTGCTGTCTTTGAACCACCAGAACTACATAACATAGTGAACACCGGGCATGGCAGTATCTCTGATTCTGCATAACCAAGATGCTGAACAGGGCAGATTAAAAGTAAAAGAAATTTCTGACAATTGTGCCAGTGATTGAGCTGAACAATCATCTCAAGCTCTGCTTGCTGGTAGCTGTGCCAAGCGATGGGTCCTCTTGTCACAGGATGTGATGCTGACCCCAGCACTGGGGGCTATGGTGACATCCTGCCTGGGTCACAGTGTGCATGGGGAATTTTGGCAACCCAGCTGCCTGCTTCCCTCGCTCTGTTTTAAATTCAGGCCATTAATATGCATTGGAGTAGCAGCGTGATCCCAGACGCGAGCTCTGCTCCTGCATGCAGCACACCAAGATGTGCAATTTCTTTGTGTTGACTGGGGAAATCCTGACCCTTGTTTTTCATGAGAGATTGTTTAAAGCTGTTTTTGTGCTGATAGCAAACCTGTGATAAGAGCTGGTGCCAGCAGCTGTGTACACGCAACTTGCTGTGTACTTCTTAATTCAGCGCATGCCGGTGATCTCATGGAAGAGCCCTCCTTTCTGAGACTGCCTGTATCCCTAGAGGTGTTCAAGAAAATGGTAGATGTGGCACTGAGGGACGTGGTGTGGGCATGGTGGGGATGGATTGGTGGTTGGCTTGGATGAACTTAGTGGTCTCTTCCAACTTAAAGATTCCACGATCCCATCTGTGCCCACCTCGTACCTCTGCCCCTCATGCTTTGGAGGGAAAAGTAGGGAGTCTGTAGTGACACTTTTCCTCTGCAGCTTTAGTACAGATCTTGGTAGCTCCTGCCTGGGATTGATAGCACGGCCAAGTCAGGTAACAAGCTACACGTGATGCTCACACATAACCAAAGCCTTCATGAGTCTTTGGAGAAAACCACACTCCTGATTTACCCAGGCCACGTTTGGGGTGATGCTGAGCTTCCCTATTGTTATTTCTTCCCAGGAGCTGAGGGTCCCATCCTGGTTCAGGGTTTGGCACTCACCCTATGTGCTCTGAGAGATGGCTTGGTGACAAATGGGTGCAATTGAGGCATGTGTCTGGGTTGCTGCATGCAGAACTGGTTTGTAAATGAAGCATTTTGCTAATGTCAAAGGATATAGATGGATATTAATTGTTTCTCAGTGGTTTGTCATTTTTCATGTGGCTTATTGATGGAATAAAGTTAACAGCAGCAGGGAAACAGGTTGAGAATGACCTGAAATCAGAGGAAAACCCCCGTAACAGCTGGAGGCAGAGACAGGTTCTGCTTTAAGCAGAAGGGTTTTGAGTGGATGTGCCAATATTTTAATATTTCAGGTATTCTTCTTGGCTTCACCAAGCTGCTGGTATAAAAAAAAAACTCTTCAGATCGAAACTTTAACACTTTCAGAAAGAGCCATCTTGATTTTCCTTTAAATCTTTCACTTCCATTACCAAACAGACCTAATGCAACTCTAAAATGAAAACAGGAGAAGGACTTTTACTCTAAAGGTATGAGTTATTTGATGCCTGGAAGATCTGAATCTTTTCTATCTGTTTCTTTCAGTGTGGTGTCATCTTGCAAATGAATTCTGATGATAATCACAATTATTTTTCCTGCTGGGGACAAACTTCTGCAGTGGCAGTAGTTCATCTATTGATGTTGGACCTGATGAACCCTTGAGCATGGACAGAGCTTGGATGGAGAATACTGTAATTGGTCTGTGCTGAGTCCAACCCAACATCCTCATGGCCATCTTGAGCCAGCTCTCAGGAGGGGAATCTTTTATAGATAAATGTATATGGCCACACAATGTTAATTCCAGCTTCCTTCCAGATGCAGATATACAGCAGCTTTAGTCTGCAGAATAACCCCACACTCTTGCCATCTGCAAACACAAGCAATAGTTTTTGTCAGAAAAAAACTCCAATCCAACTAGCACTTCATTTCCCATGCTAGAAATGCCTGAGAGCAAAAACTTTCCCTAAATAACCCCAACACTGAACAATCACTGAAATGCATCTCTTTTATTTCACTGCTTCTCCTCACCTGGTAAACAGTGACTTGGCCAACACCTGGTGCCTGTCTGCTCCATCACTGGGGTGGTTGGTGCTGCTCATGTCCTCTGAATCTTTTAACCTGATTTTCCACCTGCAGCTGCATGGCTACCAATGAAAAACCCTCCCTAAAACTCAGCCTGTGTGGAACAAGCATGCTTCATGGGGCTGGCTTTGGAGAGCCCACTTGAGGTATGGGCTCCAGAAGGCAAAAAGTACCTCGAAGAGGATGCACTGATCTTTGTCCTCTTGCTGTTTCCTCTGTAGCGACTTCCTCCCCTGCAGTACTGCACAGCTGTAAAGAAGCTGTGATGGCTCTGAGGAAGGAGTCTGGGTTCTGTGGCTGATGTTACCCTGCTTGCCCCCCTGCATCCTGCTCCATCTCCAGCATATGGAGGGGCTAATTGCTGCTGTAGGAGCTGCTGCTGTGCACAGTGGTCTGTGGATGAGCTAAGCACAAAAAAATGATTTATTACGGCTTTACGATACAACTATTTTTTCGTAGATAGTAAGGAAAGTATGGGATAACCAAGGGGGAAAGATCAGTTTGGTTTGGGGGAGCTATTTTTTCAAGCTGTTCCTGGGCAGTCACGCGGTGTGTGCTGTTGGCTTGGTTTGTGGCACAGACTTCTCATGCAGGGGCAGAGCTCACCCAATGACAACCCCTCCAAGGGTGCCCTGAGCCACCTGGGATGCTTTCCCTACTACAGAGCAGCTGGGGTTCAGCACTTGCCCTGGTATTCCTAGGAACCTTCCAGAAAAGCACCTCCAAAGTAACAGAACCCCACGTCCCATGGATGTCACCTTAGCAGTGATGGCACGGGAAGGGGATGTCTGTGTTGGCACCTCTGTGACTTCAAAGGCAGGAGCTGAGAGGCTTCTCAGAGCCTCCGCTTTGTTATTCGTCTTCCCCAGCGCTCATAAATTATCAACAAACAATCTCAGCCATCATGCCGGTGAGCAGGACTGGATAATTATGTTTGTGGTTCAAAATGAGGGTTGTCAATTTTAATTAGGGAAAGCTGAGGGCGCGGGGAATTTTTAATGTTACCACCTGAACTCTTGAGTGCTGCTCAGGAAATAATTGTAAATGAAAAATTAAACAGGGCTCAGTACACACTGCAAAGGGCATTCCTTTTCTTCCAGTTTGCCTTTCTTTGAGGCGAATTGGGATCTGGCTATACAACAGCCAACAGGTTTGCTGTCAGTACGAGGAAGGAAAGCTGGGGGTGAGCACCACCTGCACCGTGCAGTGGTGGTGGGGCACCAGCGCTCATCTTTCCTTGCAGAACTGGTGCCATCAAAACTTCTTGTGCTAAAAACAAGGCAGAGTCATCCCTGAATGTCACCAGCAGCCGGAGGGGCTGTCTGTGCAACTGCTGCATCTGAGCCAGCAAATGTCAGCTCATCGCAGGGAGTGGGGGTTAAGATTTAATCAGCAGGCCAGCATCCTCTCCTAATTTATTTTCCTTCATTTAGAGAGGATTTGCTGGGCTGCCTGTGATCTTGTGAATATTTATAGTGAGAATTCTTTTTCTGCTGCTCTCGTGGTTAACAAGTTTGATGCTTCCCAAAGATGTGCACAATAGAGTCAGACCTGGAATGGCCCCATCCTGTCCTGGCACTGCCCTTTGGGCACCAGCAGAGCACTGCAGGCATGGCCTTGGCTCATCTGCACTCTGCTATGAAGGGGTGCTCTTCCAAGTGTGCTTAGCACCAGCAGAGCCTCATCCAAAATATTCTCAAGGCAGCAGAAAGTCATTTTAATGGGCTTAGATGAGGCCCAAAGTGAGTCAGCTGGAGCAAATGAACTCCCATTCGCTAATGCAGTCTTCTAATAGCCAGGCTGCAGAAAAGCATTTGGCAATTGTAGTTGTTAAGTCATAAAAAATAATGAAAAAAATGCAATTATTTTTAATGCTATGCACATCTATTATGGTAAGAATATGCTGAATCTCTGGTTGGAAATACTTTGGGTGTCTCGGGTGATGGTGGTGAAGGAGAAGAGATCTCTCACAGCTCTCTGTAGGGTCTGGTCATGACTGAAATGAACAAAGGTTCAGCTACTGAGTGAAGATCTGTGTTGCCTGTCTGCGCTGTGGCACATGGGGTAGTTCTCAATGGGTGACTCAAAGGGCTGATTCCCACCTCATAAAGCCAAAGGGCTTGTCCCTGTGCATACCTGCAGAACCTCACTGTGTGGGGCTCCAGATGACTGCCAGCATGGATGGGAAGAAATGCAGGGAGCTGTGAGCCTGACAGTATAGGCACAGATCTCTCTTGGCTCTTCTCTCTGAGATCTTAAAAAGCAGGAAAGCATTTGTGGTCTGTGGGCACAACTTGGGCAGGGCAACCCAAACCTCAGCAATGCATCATCTGAAGTCAGACCCCAGAGAAAGCCACGTCCTTTCTTCTAGAAAACTAAGCATTTCTCATTGCAGTTCCTGATTTGCAGCCATGGTTGAGGAACAGGGATATTCCTGCTGAGGAAATATGCAGCCAACCTGAATTGCTGCTGTGAGCTTGCTCCCATACCACTGTTCCTGTGCCGACTGTTTGACACTGCGCAGTCTGGAAAAAGCCTTGCACGTGTGAAGCGCACTGTTGGGAGCACCACATCTGCAGCTACTGCTGCAAATTGCAGCAGAATGTTCTTTGAGCTATGCTGGGATTTGGGCATAGGAGGTGCAAGTCTGGCAACAAAGCCACTTGGCCCCAAGGTTTGGAGATGGGAGAACCACATTGCAGATCCATGTTGGGGACACAATGAACTCTTGGTGCCTTGGCTCCTCTTTCTTCTCCTAACTCAATACAACCAAGCCAGCTCCTTGTACTGGATGATCTGTCCTTCAGGTTGTTTGGTGTCCCCAAGGATTTTGGTCCAGGAGCCTCCTTGGTTCAGTGCCTGGCATCACCTGTGGGACAGAAAGTGCCATCATTCAGCAGAGAGTATGTAAGTGCCATCTGGTGCAAGTGGGCTCGGGGGGTAATTAAAGTGTGCTCTCAGAGGAGGAAGAGGCTGCAGACATGTTCATCAGCTCCTGTGTCTCCAGCAGGCTGGAGGAACGCTGGAGCGCATTTAAAGCAACAGCTTAATTAAATGGTGCTGCAGTTCTCACCTTGCCTTAGAAAACTGTTGGCTTATTGCCTTTAGCCCCGTGTTCTGACAGGAAATAACAAGTATGCACATAGCCAGAAGTGTAGATTGCTGGCCAAAAGCATCCCAGAGCATCTGGCTTGACCTCAGGAATCACCCTGCTTCTGCTGCTGACCACTATCCAATGTCTCTGATCTGCAACTACTTGGCATTGTCTGTGGGAGGAGAACACACAGCAGAGGCTGTGCAAAGAGAGGCAGCTGCTATCTCCTCCTGCCCTGTCTGTTGCACTGGTGCATCTGCTCTCCACCCTGGAGCAGCTGCTGTGTGAGGATGCCGTGCTTCTTGCAGGGGATGCCCAGTTGTGAGCATCCTTGGGGACCAGTGAACAACGCTGGGCAGCTACACTTCAGCACCGTCCTTTGAGGACTTTTGGTGCTTGCTACAGAGCTATTCCCAAAGATGAGCATAGAGAAACACAAGCACCTTTCCCCATCTGTTTGCATTTGTGGGATCTGACCTACTTTTTGTAATTGCAGCACAACAGCCTCCCTTGTTTTCTGACTTGCAGGAGCAGTGGTGCTTTGTGCTGCAATAAGCTGCACCTTAGCAAATCTGCCCCAAGGAAGGAAAGCAGTTTCAGGGGAGGCCGATGGCAGTGCTCATGTGGTGGCCTCCCACTCCTCCACGGATCCCACAGCCACGTGTATCTGTGCACCAATGGCCATAGCTGTCCCTGAGGGTGCATCTGTATTTTGGGATGCAGGGATGAAGACACTTCTACACCATGGTTTGCAAGGAGGCGCAGCTGGAAGCAACCCCACGGTTGCAAAAAGGAGACCTTTTGCTTTCCTGCTGTCTGCGCACTGTCTCAGGAGCAGCTGCTGAGAGCCAGGGAGAGGCACTCAGGATGTGCTGTGGGCTTTGGGAGGACTAAGTTCCAACAGCAAGGAAAAAGCAAAGTACACTCTTTCCCCTTGTTAATATTTCTTCAAAAGAAGCTGCAGCTGTCTGGAATGCTCCTACACAACAGCAAGTCATGAGTGATGGCTTTCTTTGAGTAATATAGACTGGGAGCTCAGTTAAATGTATCAAATTAACTGTCAAAATAATCTTCCAGGCTGTGATGAGCCCAAAGATTAAGCAGCATGTTGTTCTTTCTTTGTGCTTTTTTTTTTTTTTATCTTAGCAGAGGGGATTTACTGTAGATTCCAAAATCCATATTTGAAATGAATTGCAAATAGTTTCTTGTAGTCTTGGCCTATATGAAAAGGATTATTACCCAAAACAACACTTCTGTCATGGGGAATGTAGGTTAAGAGAAATGGGAATGTAAATAAATGTGCAGGCTTTGCAGTGCATTCTGCAGGGGGCATGTTTATTTTCTCTCTTGATTCCCCAAACCTGGCTTCCTATGCAATTAAAGGGTCCAGCTCTTCCTTGCAAAACATACTCTCATTTCTTTTTTGTGTCATCAGTAAATATTTGGGCTGAAACTGTTTAAACATAAGCTTTCAATAATCTTTGTTTTGCTTTTTCTGGTTCTCTGGCTGAGACCTGGTTTGAATTTTCATAGACTAAAAATACATCATTTTGTTTGAAGAGCTTAGATGATCTTGTTCATTTTGCTGTTTATCTATTACCAGGAGAGCCTAATCCTTCCCTGATTGATGTTCAGCGTCACGTAGTTAAGCAGCGATGCAGGCTGTGGAGCAGGGAGTTATTATTCTTTGCTGGGCTCTTCAGGTACCTGAGCCCACTGCTGACATTATGCATCCACCACACATTAAATTGTATTGCCCTAATCAAGCGTGCTGCCGTAGGTCAGCAGCAAAAAATGTGAAGAAATAGATGCATGAAGGTGATAAAAGACAGAAATGGCAGAGGATATTAGGAAGCACAGGGCAGAGGGAGATTGGTAGCAGTCAATCCTGATTTTGAAGATAAGGCCGTGACTCTCCGGCGCCATGCCCTGCATTATTCATGTGTGAATGCTGGCGGGGAAGGGCTGTGTGCACCCAACGCTTGGCTTCAGCCTTCACTCTGATATTTATCCATGTATTTATTTGGGGCTCTGAATTGCAACCTCCCTTCTAGGATGTTCTGTACTAAACAGCTGGCGATTTCTTTATTTAAAGACCTGCAGGGTAAAGAAACGGACAAGGAGAGAAAACCAAAGTTTTCAAAGGATATCTCAATCTGCTGGGTTTCTGGATGCTCGTGTCAAAGTTAGAAAGCAATGTTAATTACAGGCGTCTAGAAAGAGCCAAAATTATCTGTCATTCACGGTGACAAGATGACATCGCCCGTTTGGAAGGTTCAGCATTACCATTCACAATCTGAAGAGCTTAGGCTGCAATGATAACTACTACTGACAACCTCAGGAGAAGAGTTTGACATTTCTGATCTACGGATGCACAGCAGCGGTTGTTCGGCACACGGGTACGTGGCAGGGCCTTCGTGGGCAAAGAGCAAACAGGTATTTTATCATAGAGTTCTAGGACTGTTTGAGTGGTAAGGAACATTTAAAGGTCATTCAGTCCAACTCCCCAGCTTTTCATGCTGAGCAACTTTGGTGTTGGAAAAAGAAGGAAATAATAATGAAACAAAGGAGGCACTAAAGGTGGGGAGCCCCGTGTGCCCCCTGCATAGCTGTACTGCAGATTTGCCACCGTGTCCTGGGTCACATTCAGCTCAATACTGTACATCTAATGATATTGATCTCTTCCCAGTAGCCAACATGAAGTGTGATAAAACTGCAGTCACTCCTTCTTGTCCCATCCTCCTTTCACTCAGGAGCAGCAGGAGCACAAACCTGCCATCCCATGGAGCAATGCTGTGCTGCTGCTGGGTTCAGAACCAGCCAGAAATACGAGAGCTTCATCCTCTGCTCCTCAAAATCTTCTGGTGACTTTTCTTGCTTGCAGGAGAAGCCCCAGCTAGAAATCCTGGTCTGATTTTTGCATGGTCTTGTATGGAGCTAGGAGTTGGACTCAGTGATCCTTGTGGGTCCTTTCCAACACAGGATACTGTATGATCCTTGCTTGGAAAACTGGTAAAAAAGACCAGCCAGGGAGTCGCTCTGTATATTCTCCATACCAACAATTGCAACTGCCATAAAAATCTTTCTAGAAGTGTCTCAGCTGAGTTGATTGGACTGGAGGGGGCAGTAATGCCAGACCCAAATAACAGGTGCAGCATGAGGAGCTCAGGAGTCATGAGCACCCATGTGCACACTGTGCAAAGCTGAGCATTGGAATGTTAGATCTTTTTTAGCCAGGTGTTTGTTATTTCCCTTGTCAGATATCAATCTCTCAGACAGTTGGCATCTCTCCTTCTTGGCTCTGTCTTCCCTGTGTATCTGCTTAACAGAGATGCAGATGCTCCTGCTCGGCTCAGGGCTGTGTGGGAATCAAGAGACCCAGCGTGTGCCACTGCTTGCCCTGCAGAGCATTCCTGCATGCTCTGTTCACCCGTGTGCCCTATTTCTCCCTGCTCCCCATGGCTGATCACTGAGTTACGCTGCAGGTAGGTGGAGAGTTTGGGGTTGGCTTCATGGCTCAAGAGATGAAGAATGTAGAATCCTTCAGCACTCACAGTTAATGTGTCATGAGAGGTGAGAGCCATTTGTCTGTGGAATTCATTAACAGCGTCTAATATCAGTAATAACAGAAACAAATAAAGAAGAAAACTGAAAAGAATCCCCATCCAGCCCCAAGATCCAAGATAAATAATGTAAGGAGCGTCTCCTGGGATCATTTCTCTCTGGATTAGATCAATAGCAACATTCAAATGAAGCCAGGAGAGTGGCTCTGAGCCCAGAGCTCTGCAGTGCTGGC